CAAAACAAAGTTTATTTTATGTAAAATATAAATAAATAGACTACTTTTTAGAGACTAAGCAGGTGGTATGGTCTATGTTCAACGTATATATATACGTATTATTCTATTTGTATATATATATATATATATATATATATATATATATATATATATATATATATATATATATATATATATAAAATATTATTCTATTTGTTCCAAGGGTTTTAATTTTTAGGATGTATGCCGAGTTTACAAATCGGACGGAACGTCGCGGAACATAATTGACAAACAGTACGATATAACATTTAACCTTTCACACTCGACGGATGATCCGTTGAGTATTAACGCGTAACACGCTTGACGGTTCTTTCGTCACGTTTGCACTGAAATGGAAAGTTAAATAAATCTCACCCAATTGCACAAACGTTCATTAATGTTTTTATAACGTCGGACCTTTTGCACCGAAAGGGTCCGAAACGCCAATAAAACTAAAAACAAACGCGATGAAACTGTTTAAATGTTGTTTCATTTATGGATGGTGCGCGTGAAATTAAAAGAAATCAATATCTAATCAATGTTTTAAATTTGCGCATTTTGAGTCTCTTTATAAAATAGTGAAAATTTTAATTGACGTTTGTGCAACCGAGTATAAATCTTTAAATAATTATATATTATAATGCAAAAGTTTGTTAGGGTCTATGGATTTCAGTTTGTTCTCTTTCACGTAAAAACTACTGAAAGGACTTTGATGTATGATATATGTATAATTAAAATGTAGGCAAATTTTTATCCCACCAAACAGTTCTCTAGGGACCCAATATATAAACTAGCTATTTGTCATATAAAAGTAATTTTGTTAAACATTTCTATCAAGGTGAATGTAAAGCCTTTATACGTGTTGTCCCTGCATAATGCAACATGTGTTCAGATTAAATGGGCTTAAAGCAGATTACTACATCAAATTGATTGAGATCAAAGCAGTTACGTATGGACCAGATAAACCGTAACAATAATAAAGTATCCATTTTACCAAGCTGCAAATTATAGGTATTATAAGTTACAAATTACCAAGGACATATATTTTTAATAGAGAGTGGAAATTGTTATACCTGATTTCCTTTTTTTAACCCGACTGCGCGACGCAAAGGAGGGTTATGTGTTTATCAGTCTATGTATGTATGTATGTTTGTTTCTATTTCAAATAATAGTTTAGGATATATAACGATTTAAAGTTGTTTAACAAAACATTCTCGCTAATTTTCTTACTTATTGATTAAATTTTATTTAAAGTATAAACGATTATATATCGTAATAACAAAAAAAAAACATTGAAAAAGCATGAAGAACAAATGTTTTTGGTAAAAAAAATAAAGCATATATAGCTTTGAGCCGAGTTAAGTCTCTAGAGGGACTAATCATCAGTAGTTTAGACCACCGCAAGTTACTTGATAATCCCCACGATATTAACTCCCTCCCCACGAAATTTACCATCTTAGAACGAAGTCAACGAAACGTAACTAAAAAAGAATAAAATAAAAATAAATAATTTAAAGAAAAACAAAAATCCCGACTGCGTACAAACGAATTTAAACAATACCGTTTAACTGAATAAAATCTAAATTTAGTTTGTGCCACCAGAAGTGTCACCTTTGTCTTGCTATAACGATTTTATGTACTGTAACAAAATCATATAGTAAATATAAAATACATAATGCTTGTTATACCCTCTTATTAAAACCGTAAGCTGAAAAGTAAGACTGATCTATCTTACGATAGGAGACCACTTCACAATTTCCAGCGACGCTGCTGTAAGTCTATCATATAATCTATCCTCCTAAGCTAGGGTTGCCACGTGAAACGTATGAAAATCCAGGAATAAGGCCTTACTAAAAATTACTAAAGTTGATTATATCAAATATTATTCAAATAATTTTTATTTTATAAATATTTCAAAAATCTACACTTTATAAAAATTGATGGCATCTCCCATCTCGGACAACTAATGTACCATTGCGTAACTGAAACAAAGGTAAGTTTGGATCTATGAATTCAATTTATATGAATTCCCCTTACTCTTCCTTGAATGATTTATCAAGTTGACAGATCATCTATCGGTAGATGAATCAGGATTAGCCTCTAATTGAACAAACCAACCCGGATTAGTCTTGGATTTGACAAACCGATCCTGCTTTGTCTTCTGACAGACACTGGGACTGGTGATGTTTTAAAAGTACTGTTCTATAGATGATAATTAAATTTAGCAGTGTCCTATAGACAATTAAAATAATACTGAGATTTCCAAAATTAATAGAGTTCCAAATTTGTCCTCAAGATATGGTAACCCTATCCTAAGCTGAGAACATCGTTATAATAAAAACCCGATACACCGTCAGGAAGTGCCTACGATGAGTTGGATAACGAAGACGTACCTATACTATTAAAAGGTGTGACTAGGTCCCTTTATCTTAACCTATATATCATAATCTTCAAGTAAGTACGATATCAAGTGCAGATTATATTACCTAAAAAATGTAAATTGATTTTTTTCTTAACGAATATAAGCCCTAATTTTTATTTAAATAAAACAACAACGAGCAGAGCGAGGAAAGAAAACCTTTTTTTTTTCACTGAACCAACCATAGATTATTTGATGACCATAGAACACAGGTTAATAACTCTTAAATACCAGATAGTATATTCATAAATGTTTATTTTGTTACATTATGCAAGACTTATTATTAAATTCAACACTGCCACTTTATAAAATAAATCTTTCTTCTATTTAAAAACCTGCAATGTAATTTTAAATATACGATTGGCTCTATTAATTTTTATCTTTAACATTATTATAAACTTATAATGCTTTACTCTATTTAAACCTTAAGTAAACAAATCAGTTTGCATTTCTGAAGTTGGTAAATATTCTTAACTAGCTGTAACCCACGACTTCGCCCACGTGGTCCAGGAGTACTTTATGCACACTGGCCTGCTATATTGGAGTATTAAGCTTATTCATCTTAATTAAAAATCTGCCAATAAGCATCCACCTTTATATATATAGTGTCCCCATTGCTGGGTCATAGGCCTGACCGATAGATGGAATCAAAAAATAATAATCTACTGGTATTTCTGTGTAAAACGAGAATAGTCCAATTGCTCTTTTTTCCATCTTAGTGCCCAGTAGAATTACCACACCTTGTGAAAATACAAAAAATGTTTTCTTTGAAATAATAGTCCTTTTATTTGAATTGGTTTAATAATTACTCCGTCAATTTACTTGGATATTTGAATACTTATTCTGGACTTTTCTTAAAAGAGTTTAAAACATCCTGATCCTTTGCTTGAACGGACGTATTATACATTAAGGAAAAAAAAAATAATAAAGTTCCCTTAATGGACACTCTTTCCATGACTGACGTGCTTGAATAATATGCAGTTATGACACTGGTAAATTTTAAGATGAGAAGAATTAATAAAACACATAATAATGTGAATTTCAACAACGAGGATACAACTAAGGGAATGTTAAGTGTACATATTACCCTCGCGATTCTAGTAAGAAATTAAGATTTCCTACACCAAATAATACCTCGTAACAAGCAACCGAAATTACTGCCATCGAAATCTCTATTGTAAGTCAAAAACAAAAAGAGCTAAAATGTTGGCACAATGTTTCGCTTTTGTCATCTGAAAAAAATACGCTCCCAGTTTGCTTAATTTTGGAGATAAATACAAAAGTCGTCAATGACTGGTACGCTTTCCTAATAGGTGATTTTACCTCTACCTTAGATATCCTTTTTTGAAATTCATAACATTTTAGATTAACAAGTGTACTGTTAAGTCATGGATTATCTTATTGACTGCTCACTTTGCTTTTATTATACCATAATGAATAATAATATTAGGAATCTTTTTTTTTAACAAGTTTTGGTTAGTTTTAGTGGTGTGATCTTCAACCAGATATATAGACCAATCAAACGAGCCGTATGAAGCTCGACAAGGTCGATTTATTTAGTATACAAAATTCCCAATGACCTTCCGAACCTGGATATTATCAAGGACCAAAGTAGTTTCTAAGCTAAATTTAACACTAAATAAAATATGAAATTAAATAAAAGCTTTAAATAAAGATTATTTTCAAAAACTGAAACCAAATTCAAATCATATATTCGTTTACTTTGATGAAATACCTACACATTTACTTAGATGACTCATTAATAAATGTTACTTCGATATTAAAACAACTGCTGAACTGTTGGACGATTTGGGAACCATTATCAAGTAATAAAATGTATGTTAGAAACCAATTTTAATTTATGGTGGAACATCAAAAGAGAAAAGGTAGTTTATATCTTTGTTGTTGTTTATGTCGGTCAAAAAGTCATCATCTGATATACTTATAAAAAAAAGAAAAAAGATTTGCTTATTTGCATCGAATAGGCTCCGAAACTAAAGGACTGATTTTAAAAACACGAACATTATCTGACATTTACGTATATATAGTTTCCTTTTCTCTCATCTTTGTACGAAAAATGACCTTCATATAATTATTTTTCCAAATGTTAATAATTGTCTTTATTTATAAGTTTATTTATTAATTAAAAAGGTTAGTCTTTTATTATCATTTATACAAGTTTTATTTTTCCAAATAATTTCCAAAGTGAAATTACCGTGAATAATGTTTTCATAAGTATTTGAAAAGTAACTACATAGATAAAAAGTACACATACGGCAAACGTAGTTCAAAGTGTTTTTGATTACTCTTTGAGTAATCTTAAAACTTTTTCAAATAAAATAGAAATTAATTAAAAAATTTCGGGCACATAATCGAGAATTTGCGCGCTGCTACGGCTGCAGCCTCACATAGGGTGTAAAATTGTAGGTATCTAATGCATCTTAGCAATTTTGACGATGCGGCACCTCGGCGGGTGTCGCCCACATCGGGCATAACCGCCCGCTTTACGATTTCCTCCTGCCAAATATACGAACGACAATCTCCCCGTAAGGTCTCAGTCTAATATGTGACATGTTTAATAAAATTTGGCGCATTCTCTGCGCTGCGCTTCTCTATGTGTGCTGGCCCTAAGCTAACAAAAACGAAAGAAATCATGAAAGTAGACTATGAGACAGAAATAGACATATCTCTAATCATAATCTATATCATAAGCTCTCGGACTCTAACATCGTAAGGACTTACTTTACCAACGTAAAATCATTTAAAGTACTTTACTGTAGTCTCGTACGTAGTCACTTGGAATATGGCTCACAGGTGGGGATCCTAGATATGCCGTATATATCGAAAGGATTGAAAATATATAAAAATATATTTTTTGAAATATTAATGTTAGCGCACGAGGATGATATATAATTCCAGTGATGTTATTGAATTTGTAAAAAAACGTCATTTTTTAACCCTAGAAAACCGTCGAATGATAGCTGACATTATATTTTTTAATGAAAATAGTCTCTAACACTATTGATTGCCCCGAGCTTCTTTCAATATTAAGCTTTAATATACCAGGAAGGTATCTTCGTTTATTTAGGTCAATTTGATTTCAAACACTAATTATAGGCAAAACACCTTTTTACTTCGTGCAGGTGAATGCTTCCATGGTTTGTATGATAACAAAATAAATCTATATCAAGATCTATTTTGTTCAAGCTGTAACTCAGCAAAACAAATTATTCTAAATCTGCTCACGTGACCGGAGTTTTTTATTACGTTTTTCTTTTATTAATTTAGTATATGTAGGTACTTGTTTGATTAACATAGTAATATCATTGGTTTGTGTCTTTATTATAGTTTGTATTTATATGTGTGAGTCTAGAGGTATAATTGGTTCTCTGTTTTTTAATATTGTTTTTTTATTTATTATGGTGAAACTATTGATACACCTTTGAAAATAAAATATAGGTGCGATATCGTTTTGAGCAGAATAATCCGTAACATATAACATATTATTTACATGGTGCTTAAAAATTATATTTTTCGAATTGCTCGTGTCAGGCCGTGGCTACAAAGTGTGTTACGGATTTACAAATTTTCACTACTTAAAAATATATGTCGAACAGAAATTAAAGATTTATCTTGTATTTTTTGAAATTTAATGTGCCATCACTCATATATAATTGGTGTTACTTTATTCAAATAAAAGCATTTTAAAACAGAGAAAATAATAGTCGTCTACAGGGCAGTGTAGCTCAGTAGTTAGATCATTCGCCCGGAGTGCGAAAGGTCATGGTTTCGAGGATTTTTTAAGCATTTTTTATAGAGAATGTTTAAGAATAACATTGTGAATGCAAAAATGATCAAATATAATAATATCAGGATATTTCTAGAAGAAATACTCACATCAGCTTGACTGTTCATGTAGGTGAGTTGCAGTCTCCTATGCTCCTGGAAAGCATTCCTTAGAAACTGTTTGTCGCCATAAACTGCTACGCCTAACTCCCCTCTCTTCGTGGATATCTCTTTGCGCAGAGTTCTGATATCGCGAGAGTAACGCTTCTTCTGTATCGCCAGATCGCCCTCATGGATTTTTCGGTCTCGTTCTAAATAACAAATTAGCGATAAAAATTATTTATTAAAACTATTTTGAACGGATGTAGCACTATACCGTTGTTAAGCTCTTTTCACAAAGGTCAGACATAGGATGGGTAACCAAATATTTAATATCTCGAACTCTTCCGCTCTTCGGAAGGCACATTAAGCCGTTGGTCCCGGCTGCATCTGCAGTTGTTAACACCTACCAGTCCTCCTGGAAGTTAGGATATTAATAGGCCCGTGATAATGAGAAATAGAAAAAAAGCAAGTGGTCAAATAACATTAATTGGAGTTCCAGAAATCAACGCAAAAAATGTTCATTAATAAATAAAACAAAGATAGTAAAATCTATCGTATCTACGGAGCGTGTCACTAGTCCTCTCAACCTACCCCGCAAGGGATACGCTGTGAAGATACAGATAGATAAATATTAGATATGAAATATTTGCTCTAATAAATTACCAGCTTGGACATTGAACACGTGCCTACAACTTTTGTACAACTTACCATATAATTTTATAAGTCCCCTGTATTGATTGATCTTGTCTCTTATCACCCAGTTCTCATCTTGCATCCCATGTATACGAACTTTGGCAGCAGATAACATATTTGCTCAAAATAAGTAAATTCAATAAAATGTGAAATTAAACTGAAATAAAGTGACAGATATGTTAAAAATCAAAGAGTATAAACACAATAGGTACAAAGATTAAAGTATATTTATTAGGGAATTCCTCAAGGGAATACTCGGAATACAGTAACCATACAATAACTAAAATGTGTGTCATGATATGAATAGATATCCAAATAAACAGTTCTCTAAGGAACACGCGGGCAAAGTCGCTGGCGGAAATTTTCTTGGTTATAATTTACACGTGCGAAGTCGCGGACAACCGCTGGTATCGTATATCTCACTAATATATATCTATAATATGTCTCACTAATTAACACTTCATACTTGTCAACGCGTTTCTATGCATTCTCAAATATTCAACTCATAATTCGCATACTGAGTTTGAAAAAATGTTAAAATTTTAATTGAGTGTTTCACTTTTAACTTATGTGTTTGTTAACTATGAATAAGCAAATGTTTAATTGGTATTTCATAAGATAATGATAAATAAAAATCGTAGTAATTTTATCAACAAGGCTTTAGTTTCTGCCAACACAACCCTCCATATAATATCAGTATATTCGTGTAGCTGATGCTAACACGACGACTTATTAAGATCTTAAAATCGGTAAAACACTTTAAATATATAAAATTTCCAGAGTGTTTAAAATATGTTCCATTAAAAACTTTTTATCGTCTGCATTGACCTCATTTCCGTATTGTTGACGGCAACATTATTCAACCAAGGGTCAGCTCTTATGAGAGCACTTTACACTTATGAGTCACACTTCTTTAATGCAGTGCTCCTTAAGCTCAACTAAACTGAACTAATGCACCGACTGTTGTTCACATTAGCCCCGTTCCGAATGTCGGGTTGAAATTATTCTACAAATTATTAGTTTGCAATATTGAAACATTTTCTTTTATTTATCACTTTTCAGGAATTTTAAACAAATGAAATAAATGACATTTTTCTTTTTTTTTAAACAAGCTTTATTGTAATTCTTATAGACAAATGAAACCCAAACTTGGAGGGATTACATTATTACCTACAATAATAGCCTATGTGCCCCGGTTCTTCGTCATTTCATTAAATTTGTCAGCGCATGCTTCCAATAGTGGTATGAACGAAACGGCCATCATGAAGTTTGGACCATCGTGATCTTGGCAGATAGACTTTAATAGTTGTGTGTAAAATACCAGCCTGTTTTCGTCAAATTATAAAAAGCGTGTTTTTTTTTTATTTCCTTCAGACTATTTTAATACATTTATTACAACACACTTGCTAACGTGTATAAGTTGGTTAAGCTACGAAACTTCGGGACCTATTTTAAAAAGGTAGCTACTTCATAATTCCCACTCGAGTGACCGACCGTTAGCCGGCCGTTAGCCCGTTTACTGAATTAATAAAAGCACAAAATCTCAACTGATTTTTCTCAATAACTTAAGATTTTCACGTTTCATGTGGCAAAAAGTCATAGTTTTATCAAATCGCTATCAACTGATCATTTAAAAAATATAAATCAGTAATGAAAACCTGTTTAAATGACGTTTAAGCACGGTTTGAGACGTCCTCAACTTCTGATTTTCAATTCAGAAACCGGGTGTAAGTTGCGGAAACACTGCCTCGAACTGGAAGTTAAGCATGGCGCTGTTATAGCATGTAGTTTCAATGAAATAAAACGTTTATTATCTTTTGAATTAGTTTTTATTTCATTTCCAACAGAGAGAGGAAAAATCAGTCAATGCAAGATTTGACCCATTGCTGACACGGCAAGTAAGATAAAAGTTCCTGGATTCGCGTCTGGACTCTCGAGTTCCGCAGTCTACCTTCTTTCTTCGCGAATAAAATCACATTCCCTTTAAGGTGAAGCAGCGGGTAACAGATAGTATACCTACTATGTACATTTGTGGCGCCAATTTCACCCAGTAGTACAAAAAGTTAACCGTGGAACACCTAGGTGAACATACTTTGGTGTTCCACGGATCAGAAATGCTAAAATGAACTAAACTAAAAAAATTACTTCAAATGGGCTTGTTTTCACGTCACTCAATTCTCACATGTATTCAAACAAATGTAATTCTATACTCTTGTATATTAATATTAAACAATAAAAGTTATAGGTATTGCTTATTTATATATTGAAAACGCAATTCGAGAGGATCTAAATTTAGTCTAGTTTGTACTATGTACAGAATCTAATGCTAACTGTGTGAAATGCACCGACACAATCCAAAACCCGTGTGGGAAGCTTGAGCGTGCTATTGAATTTCCAAATGGATAGAAATTCGGTGTACTGCATAACCTATCGAGAGTATGTAACAATTGTACATATGTATTTTGAATATTAAACGCAGGAATGATCACGTTATTATGTCTGTTGGGGTGAAATCCAGTTATGTTTGCATACCATCTGCTTATTTTCGATGATATTATACATAGATGTTATGTAGACAAAGGAGGTCGATTGGTTGGCGCGGTCAGTTTGCGATACTATTGTTAAGCAATATTTGCAAATGCCAATAATAGGATTGGTGACCAACAATTTATTATATTGATCCCAGCTGCATCTATTACACCCACTCACTCGGTCACGGAGGTTTATTCATTATATATACATATATATTTACCTACAAATAAACTATTAAGCTTATTTCTCGCTGTTTCAACGAATTCAATTCTCTTGTTCTAGTGCTGGCTGGAGTAGCAATGTTTTTTTTTTCAAAAGTAGAACCAACTTAATACCTATAGACTTAATTATTTCTATTATTGAAAAAAAGAAAATAGGTATTGATAGCTACATCATACGTGGGCGCTATAGCATATAATTAAGCAGGAAAGTCTCGAAAAAATAGATCTTATCAGCTACTGAAAAATTGAAAATATTGTTCTACTTATATAATATAAAATTTATTAATTTAAGTTTCTCAAAGAAGCTGCTCTAAAAAGTACAAGTTGCGGTTACTTCTATATCTTTAAACTTTTACGAGAAATAATAGTTTATAACTGTTTTATATTCATGTAGACTGTTGACCATCAGCTAACCCCTTGGTTTACCTAATAGAATATTAAAGTATTATCCGTTTCTACGTTTCTTAATTAATGACTGAGAGAGAGCAAAATTGTGTTATGTAGGTTTGTACATACATAATGTCATTTGAATATTTTACCCTCTTTTTTCTGTTCTATGCTTTTAGCAGTTTCTATAGAAAAACATTAACAAACTGAAACAGTTTAATCCAAAATTATTAGTCATTCAATATATGTACATTATGAAAACTTTATATCGGGATCACCATTCACGGAGCATAATCCTCTGTGTGTCCGGTCACCACATTGCGTGCCTTGAGGGCAATTAGAACACGTTAGTCCAGTCTCGTAAATAGGAAAACCATCAATATTACCAGCTGGCCCATAGTTACAAATTGTAAAAGCAGCAATTTTCGGAATACGACGTGATTTTTCTTTTTTTGCATTCTCCAAAATACCACGATGCAAAGGAGACTCGTTTCCTGAATTAATCGTTGTACCAAAATCTTCCAATCGCGTAGAAGCCGCTGATGTCATATATCTGGTACGTCTCAAGATGTTTTCCATGACCGTGGTTCTGGTAACATTACCGAAATCTTCCTCGGTTGTTTCATTTTGGAAAAGTGTTCGTCGTTTTCTGTATAGAATACATGACCTCTTTTTCACAGTGCACAGAGCTTGGGAGCAGCCTATTCGCCAAGTTGACGCCCAAGCCGCAGCCGTATACCAATGGGCGTTACAGCCTCCCGGAGCGCTACAGTTACTTTGTCTAAAAGACCAGACATGCTCTGGAGGCAATACTCTTGAGCCCGAATACCATGCACCTACCGCATCTGCTAGTAATTGTGCTTCTGTGACCCTCGGGACAACAGGTCTTACGTCCATGTTCTGAAGCACATTAAAACGAATTGTATTTCTGCATTCATCGTGTCGCTTCTGACATTGCCTCGCCCAAACTTCCGCCATCTCCTCGAGCTCGTAATCCCAATACATTTTTCTCATATTGGTAGCAGGTGGTTGGCCAGCTTCCAAGCCCATAGCGATATTGTCTCTATGTCTATTATGTAAAAGTAATATCTGATATCGCATCCACGTTGTTATGCCAGACGCATAAAGTCTTGGGCTTTGTTTATTAACGGCTATACAGAGTGTATGTTGATTTTTCAAAGAACAGTCAGGATGAGAACAATACTCTTGATAATTCTCCGCCGTGATATTTATCTCACTTGAGACAAATCCGGCATTGAGAGTAACTAAAACTATATAAAAAACCAAAATAATGCACATTATCGAAAATTCTTCAACAAAATATTTTGTATGGCTTGATTAAATACAGGTATAAATATTCAAAGAACATAGGTTTCCCTTCATTACATACGTCTAGCATAGAGCAAAGAGTATATAAGAAAACTACCGTCTAAAAATATCTATGTATTTAAGCATAGAGTTTATACAGTTAACTGCAGATCAGTCAAATTTCCCCACTCGATTTTAAACTTCAATAGTAATGTTTTTGCATATATTTGACATATAGTTGTGCCTACCAAGAAGTCTAGAGTATTAAAATGTTTTTCTTTGCTGTCCTCTTCGACCAACAATACGCCAACACGCCAGTTTGGAAATGGCTGATCTGAGGAAATATTGAATCAAACAAGCGTCATCAATCGTATTCAAACTTTGAAGAATGCGCCTGGTTATGAATGCAAAATTACCTAAATCCCAAAACACAACACCCAGACTTGAGCTAATGTAGAAAAAATCTATTTCGTTCGGCTATGGGATCCCATCGGGAATCGAACCTGGGACCTCTGAGGTGGCCTTAAAACTAACATGCGCGCCACTAAGCCAAAAAGGTAGTCAATATTAATGTATAATATAATTTTCGATAGGTGGGAGTCACTGTATGGATAAATTTATGTAACCAACTAACAAAAAGTAATGTTATAATTTTTTTAGCTTAGCTAAAGTGACAAACGATATTATTGAAATAATTACGATCTAGGTACACACGGCCTCACGTCAGACTATACATTGTGATCTTTATACTGACCGCGCTTCGTATAGAACTTCGCTACTAACAAAGGTCTGCTTACCGTGGTGGTGTATAGCGTGATATGCGTCCGTGTGTACAAAATAAAAATATTTGTAGTTCGTTTTTCTGATATATGACGCTATGTTTGCCGTTTTCCGGAACAAAATGGTCGTTGTCATGTTTCCATGTTGTCGACAAATCATTACAAGTCCGCTAAAAAAATGTGTTCATTTTTCAAGGGTTACTTGAAAAATGCTACTTTGGTGTAATAAAAATTGTATGTCTCTCAATAATAATAAATGTCAAATAATCAGTTTCACAAAAAATAAGCATAGCATTGTGCACGAATATGAGATGAATGGAATAGTCTTGGATCGAGTAAATCTTGTCCGTGATTTGGGTGTGTGGTTCGATTCAGATTTATCTTTTACACAACACTATAATTTTATTTGTAACAAAGCCAGCAGAATGCTTGCTTTTGTAGTGAGACAATCCAAGCAATTTAAAAACCCAAGCTCTTTAATATTACTCTACACGTCCTTAGTCAGAAGTAAATTAGAATATTGCTCTAGTGTTTGGTCACCAATGTATAACAACCACATCAATAGAATAGAAGCTGTTCAACGCCGTTTTTTGAGAAGTCTTTGTGTTAGGTTTGGTCTGAGACGTAGATTACAGGATTATGACGATCGGCTTAAGCATTTTTCATTGGTCAGCTTGGAAAAGCGCAGATGGGTAATTGATTTGACTATCTTACATAAAATAGTAAATGGTGAATATTGTGACCAACTCCTAAACCAGGTTAATTTTAAAGTACCTAATAAATCAGTAAGAGTTCCTAAATTGTTTAGTGTATCAGGTACCAATAATAATGTCTCAAAACATGCACCGCTCTCACGTATGTGTCATGCATATAATAATTTATGTTCTTTCGGAGATGAATTTGATGTATTTAATTGTAGTTTACATTCCTTCAAAGTTTCACTATTGTGTGATAGTACTTAATTTATTAGTATAGTAGTGGTACCTATTATGTTATTTAAAGTTTTCATGTTGTGTTTTCAAAACACAAATTAGAATCTTAGTGCTGAAATAATTTCTTTGCTTTTTTTTTTGTATAAATGCTGTGTACAATTATTATTGGAATATAGATTTATAAAGTAACCGGTAGATGTTAAGTATAATGTACAATTTATGTTCTGTTATTGTACCTCAAACAATAAATATAAATAAAATAAAAAATACATATTTAAAAAGTTGCTGGCGTATAATACTGATTAATATGATGTGTACTGCCTTTGAAGTACTTGGTCGGTTTAATAATAATGAGAAATTGAATTCCCGGTTGGGGGTAGGCAAAGAGTGCAGTCAAGGAGAATTTAAATTCTACTGGGGTGCAACCACATGATGCACCCCTTTGTGCTCAGACGACATAGAAGGAAAATGTGAGGCTGGTGGTAAACCAATGCAATAGCAGTTTTGCATTGGTATACTCATTGTATTTATTTCACTTGACATTCTAATTACAACGCCTACTTTATGAAATATATTTTATTATTTTATATCTTCAAGCTATGTTTCCGATGATACTTTACGATTAGAGATAGGTATTAGGTTATAAAAACGATTATAAAATAATCTTCATATTCTGAAGTTTTTAAGTTTAAATTATATGCAAATTCCTAATTATTTAATTTAATTTTGTACATGATTTATAATTTATTCATAACTTTTGCTCGCTTTTCCCGTGTGGATTCAAAAATCGTGTGACTTATTAGTCCGGACTATGAATGAACTATCTATAATTTAATATTCAATAGTCTTTTGTCATCTTTGTGTCCGCATGTAACTTCACAAGTGTTTAATTATTGGAAGAATGACATTTGCATCCTAATGATGCGGTGTTGCATTGTCGAAAGCTTTACTATCAAGAACTTGGATGAAGTTATTCCTAGATGAAAATAGTACTTGCCAAACTGACGAGATACTCTTCAGTACTTTTTCAATTTTTCTCGCTGGTTGTCGTTTCTTCATAGATGTTAAGTCTCTTTGTTTTCTTCCTTGTTGAAATTTACCTAAGTCTTGTTATACTTAAAGTGCTCTTTGTGTTTTTTGATCCAATTTTCACATAGGATTTTTTTAGCACGTTTATAGGCTTTACTCTGTGGCACATGCCAAAGTATCTATCAGTCAAGGAAATTTATTTTTTATAAAAAATACTTTATTATATTTAAATGAAATAATAGATTTATACAAAGTTCTATATATTTATTCAATGCAATTATCATAGCAGTCTTATAGCCTAAATGAATTATGTAAATAAATCATTTTTATGATATTTATACTTTATGTGAATCCTATATAACTACGTAATTATAATATTTTAAATATGATAACCAGAGTGGTACAAATGTGCCTTCGAGGATTGTCACTGGTGCTGGTGATTCTAGGTTTTTTGTATAGCACAGAATGTGAAAATGTGACCAACGTCGACAATTTTATATTAATTGGTATATATGGGGCACATGTGGCTGTAACTTTCGGACTTCTTCTCGAAGCAGGCCTTAGAATAAACTCTAATAAGTTTATGGAATCTCTTTTATTGGGTAACGCACTTGTTACGAATGTTATCTGCTCCATATGGGCTTTCTACCAGTTCTATAAAGAAGCTACGTACAAAAATGAAGCATTAAATAAAGGAACTTTTTCTATATTAGCCGCCATCGTGTATGCAATTGATATTTCTATTCTATTTCGGTAATAAACTATATATAAAGTTATTGTTTCTTGTGTCTCTCTTTACAATATTGATTTTAAAATGATTATAATTTACAATCATTATGTATTTTTTTTTATTTGTAGGTAAAGGTAGATAAAAATTTATAAGGTCATGAGGCTCAAAGCGCAATGGTTTGTTCCTTCTGATTTGCAATGCAGAAATAAGTTTCGCAAGCGCCAGTCATAGAATGAGTGACCAACAATTTACTATCGTTAGCTCCTCCGTGATTAAGAACACAACTGCATCTGCAGTCCGCACTAAATCCCTGTAGTGGGTTGTGCAATGCAATTTTTTAGATGAAAATTTTACGCTTTTTCTGATTGAAAGTTCCGATTTTCAATTAACATGGAATTATATGACGAATATTATAAGGTTAATTTTTGGTTCTTGAATCTATTACAAAATCTTAATCGGTCTTTGTAATAATATAGTAATTTCTGCCAGTACCTAAATAGTTATTTTTTTTAAGGCATATTATAACAAAATTTCGGAAGGGAACATTCAACCCCCAGTTAGGGCGAGTTGTTCCCCGTGTGGGGCAAATTGTGCCGCTTCGATAATAGAAATAATATAGGTTTATTTTAAATGTAACAGTCATTTTTAAAGTCGCATTTAGTGTGTATTAATGTAACGCTATATACATAGTTAGTTACAATATTTATTAGTTAGTCTGCATAGTTAGATCTAGATAAACATTTTGCACTGGTTAACTAAAATTGAGATCTATTAGCTTTATAAATCTCATTACCTACATGCATAATAATTTAGGATACTACAATTCTAACTGGAAAGGATCCTCGAGATAAAAACCTTTTTTAATATTGGCATTTTCATAACATAACAAAAAAAAGAATAAACATTCATATAAATGTTTATTTTAAACTTTAATAATAATTCATCAAGTTAAAAATCTTATAAGATCTGTAGCTGCACTTATTTTAACTAAATAATATAACTGGTAACCTTCAAACTAACTTTTCATTATTAAGTGTAATGACAAGTGAGACTACAACTTCAATTGGAGTGAGTTGTTCCAGGGAACAACCAGCCCCTTTAGTGGTTTGTAGCCCCAATTTAAGTTTTAGTATAAAAATTGTCATAGAAGTTAATTAACAAAATAAATAAAATAAAAAATCAGACATAAGATACCTAGCTAATGCCACTCTCAAATAGGAAAGTTACACATAAATCGGACAATCTATACTAATATTATAAAGCTGAAGAGTTTGTTTGAACGCGCTTTTCTCAGAAACTACTGGTGCGAATTGAAAAATTCTTTTTGTGTTGAATAGACCTTTTATCGAGGAAGGCTTAAGGCTATAAAATATATATATATAACATCACGCTGCAACTATTAGGAGCGAAGAAATAATGGAAAACGCGGACGAAGTCGCTGGCGGCCACTAGTAATAAATAAAAATATATCAAAAAGATTAAATACGAAAAAAATTGCTCCCGTGATGTTCTAATACATAGCAAGGTACACACACCCACAAAGTCATTCATCCGCCGTTGTTGGAGCCGCTAAGATTATCGCCAGCGCAGCGCGTCATTTGATGCTAAAAAGACGCACTTCACATGTGTTATTAGCTCTTTCCTTTGAAAAGTTATAACTGTCGAACAACTTACCCCCGGAACTTTCGGGTGTGTTCGTTATTTTTTCCATTACTTGTATTCGTCCGAATTATTCGATTTTGGTGCCGAGTATGTTAGAGTATTTTTATATTCTGGGCTAACACTGTATAAAATTATTTAAACACAAAACTTTTTTAATCATCTCATTTGTGTTAGTTTTTATTATTTATTATAAGTAAAAAAAACCAATGAAGTATGTGTCAATATCAATAAATCTAATAAACTATCAACATTTATTTTTGGGCCTGTATATACGGTAAAACAATGAAATGGTAAATCGAGTAATTGGGCTTGTTATCTAATTCGGTAATCGTTGGACCGCATAATATTCGGTTTCGGTAATTCGGTGAAACCATTATTGCGCGCATCTCTGATAATGAGGAAGTATTAACAAAAAAGAAAACACTAAAAAAGGGCCTCATTAGATGGCGACTCTAGCAAAAGTTGATATTTGCAGGAAATTAATGTACGAAAGATAGTTATTTCCATTCCTTATAAGTAACATATAAAAAACTGAAATTTGCATAGATTGCATATATTATATACATAGATTACATAGTTCGAAACTTACATAGATATCAATATAAATACGAAAAAGTTGGAGGAAGCATTGAGCACGTTGCGATGTGACATAGTGGGATTATCCGAAATCCGAAGAGAGGGCCAGGATACGGTAATCCTTGAGTCCGGTAACATGCTCTTCTTCCGGGAAAGAGATCAAAAATCACAAGGTGATGTTAGGTTTCTCATCTTCACCGTTGTAATGGGGGACTTTAACACGAAGCTGGGCGCTTTGAACGGCGATGAGTTGAGGGTGGGTCGATTTGGGTATGTGCGGCGCAACCACCGGGACCAGAAGCTGGTCGATTTCATGATGAAGGAGGGACTCTTTGCGATGAACTCCTTCTTCCAGAAGAGACCCTCCAGGAAGTGGACCTGGATGAGCCCTGATGGTTCGACAAAAAATGAGATCGACTTCATCATGACTACCAGAAAGCACATATTCAATGATGTCTCCGTGATCAGAAGGGTGAAAACCGGTAGCGATCACCGAATCGTTAGAGGCACATTGAATATCAATGTTAAGCTCGAAAGGTCACGTCTGATGAAGTCTACGCTCCGTCCTAGTGCTGCTCATATCGTGGACCCCGAAGCTTTCTAACTCCAACTACACAATCGCTTTCAGTGTCTAGCTAAATGCGAGTCTGTGGACGAAATAAACAACGGGTTTGTAGAAACAGTCCAAGCTGTGGGGTTTAAGTTCTATAAGGCCCCGCGCCGTATTAAATCTCAAAAGCTCTCAGACGAAACGCTCAAGTTGCTGGCGGATCGGAGGGATATGAGACTGCAATCTTCAACCTTTATGTCGGAATATGGTCGACTTAACAGACGAATTTCCAAATCGATGCGACGCGATCTGCGCTCCTATAATACTACACGTATTAGGGAGGCAATAGAGCGGAACCAAGGCTCCAAAGTGTTTGCAAGAAATTTGTCTGCTGGGTCGAGTTAGTTGACGAAGCTGAAGATCGACGACGGCAGGATCGTATCTTCAAAACCGGAGATTCTGAATGAGCTTGAGAGGTTTAATGGACAGTTGTACACAACAACCCGTTGAAAGCAATGCTCAGGACACCAGAGCAAAGCTGACCCAACATTACACCGAGGATATCCTCGGTGTAATATTATACAGGGATATCCCTGTACGAGATTAGAATGGAACTCAAACAGCTCAAGAACAACAATTCACCCCGGTGAAGAACAACAATTCACAGAAGACCGAGGAGTATAATCTGCCACTTTGCTTAGCGTTTGTGGACTATGAGAAAGCCTTCGATTCAATCGAAACCTGGGCAGTACTGCAGTCCCTCCAGCGATGTCGAATCAACTACAGGTACGTCGAAGTGTTGAAGCGTTTGTATAGCAACGCCACAATGCCGATTCGCTACCAGGAAGAGAGCACGAAACCAATCCAATTGCGCAGAGGCGTGAGACAGGGAGATGTCATTTCTCCGAAACTGTTCACGAATGCATTGGAGGACGTATTCAAGCTCTTGGAATGGGACAAATACGGCATCAACATCAATCTTCACGTCCAAATTACCACAGTGCCTAAAGACGAAGGTGTATAACAAGTGTGTGATGCCAGTGATGACCTATGACACTGAAACGTGGTCCTTAACTGCTGGCCTCTTAGAGAAGCTTGGAGTCGCTCAGCGAGGCATGGAGAGAGCAAACAACGTGGATATTCGCCAAAGAACTAGAGTGACCGACATAGCTCGCAAAGTTTGTAAGCTGAAGTGGCAGTGGGCAGGCCACATTGCTCGACGAACCGATAACCGATGTGGACGAAAAGTTCTCGAGTGGAGACCACGAACCGGAAGACGCAGCGTGGGTCCCCCGACTAGATCAACGGACGACATCGTCCGAGTCGCGGGCGGCCGCTGGATGCAGCTGGCGCAATGTCATCCGTCGTGGCGTTCAGAGGGGGAGGCCTATGTTCAGCAGTGGACGTCTTCCAGCTGATGATGAGGATGATGATGACAAATACAATATGAGTTATGTATTAAGTTTTGAAATTTAATTAATTTTTATACATGAAAGAAAATCGGAAGATATGTCATGGAGAAATCAAGAAAGTACCGTAGCTACATCTAGTTTGATTTCGGGAACTATTTTTTTTTTCTTTTTTGTAAATACTTCCTCAATAATTTTCTTTTTTACTAGAGATGCGCTGGATAGTGATTTGACCGAATAACAGTATACTATTCGGTTTAACTTTACCGAACCAGATATTTGACTGAATTATTTGTTTTACCTTTTCATTGTTTTTCCGCGTAAACAACTTTAAAGAAAATGTTGATTTGAATTTTAATTGCTTTATTTAATTAGCTTCATTGAACACATTCTTCACAAGATTTCTTTGACTTATAACAATAGAAAACTTATATAAGATGTTTTGTTTTTTAGTTCTTTATAATGACAAGTAGCCAAGAAAATAAAAATGATCGAACCAAATATATTCTGGCTGAATAGAAATAGTTAAAAAGATGCCGAATACGCCGAATACCAAACGAAGGTTCGGCGCATCTCATTCTGTAAAATTTATTTTATCAAAAATTTGTTTAAAAACTTACCTCCAATAAATTGGTGACCGATTCGAAATTCCGCAGCATATCCAAACTACATCCGTAAAGCCTGTTCCTACTTCGTATACGGTTCATATATCATACATCCATTTGCTATTGAAATAGGCGTTCTGTTCCTCAATTACGCTGTTTATGTAATAATCTTTACAACTCATTATTTTGTGATCTGAATGGTTGTAGTTGAAGCACTATTGACTTTCCATAATTACGCTAACATTAGGAGAGTTGCCCTACAGAACGCATGTTTGTGGTCATAATGTCTTATTACCATAATAAATAGGGACTGGATTGGGAATAAGACATTGTTATGAAAACACAAATAAAGCACAAATAATAATAATTAATAACTACTACACATTTCAGTACAGTTTCACATGTGAACTTTGCACGTAGAAATCAGTTGTTGGGTGTTAAAATTCGGACAACTCAAATACATTATTTCTTTGGATTTATTCGATATTAGATTTCGAAATGTTTGCGTTTTATGATAACGATATAGCTGTAGCTATATCGATATAACGTTGCATCCCTATTTGGTTTACTCTTCTTTTCTTTACATACCCTTTGCTCTTGGTGGCTCTCATATAATGTTTACAATTTTACTATCAGTGGTTTTCGCAGATCCTTACGGAATACTCTAGTTACTTCCTTTTTGATAACCAGGTAAAAAAAAATCTACATATTTAACTGATTCTGCCTATTAGTCTTCGTATTTTGGTGAGTAAACAAACCTATTGTATGTTCCACAACCAACGTTGCAGCCTTTGATTAAGCTGCAGCATAGTTCACGTTTCTTTGTCGTAAAACTCGAAATATGGAGGGATACTTATTATATCTTGTTTCTTGTTTATCGGACCAGTTTGTGTATATTTTCGAATTATGTACCTATTGACACTTGTTTCTTGTTATCTAGAGTGATATTTGGTTATAAAATCTTAATATTATTATAATCTTAATATTATTATTAATGAAGAACAGTTTCTAAATATCCAATTGAACCTGCGCCCAAAATTAATACCTAATTTAAAATTCGTCATAAGGCAACAACGCATTAAGATGAAAAAAATATGTCAATAGATGACTGAATGATATTAAGTTTAACATTCAACAGGTCAACGTCAATCTCAAATCCAGATGCTTAATGTCAACTTGCCACTATCAGCAGAAAATAACTGTTTCATCATTAGCATTTCTATGTCTTCAACAAATGCTAAATAGAGAACCAAATATATAAATAACTCATTATGAGTTTACATAAAGCAAGGTAAGATTAACTTACATACAGATTTCTTTGACTAAATAAACATTTTTATCAGTGATATTTAATTCCAATTAAGCAAAAGGTCATATTAGCTGCTTCAATACAATTTTTAATTAATGGACTAAAGTTATTTGTATCTTGATCATTGATTAATTTATTTTGTAACATTATAAAATGTGTAAATACAATAAGTTTCAAGGTTCGAAAATGCTTAAAAATTATATTTTATGTAATGTGATGAAAATTTCTTTATGGACATAATATGTTTTAAATGGGTAATCAAACTCACAAAAATTATAACTAAGCTTTTTTCCTATTAATATTAATTAATTATTAATTAAGCCAATTATATTAATATCGTCATGATATTATACTCCAATTACATAAATACTAATTGTTGGTCATGCAGTATAATAATGTAGTTGCATATCAAATATATTCAATCAGTAGACATGTATAAGTGCGTATAAATTCCAAATAAACAATAAAAAAAAATTGAAATGACAAGTCAAGCAGTCATTCATGATTAAATTTTTTATTCTTATCTGGTAATGACATAATAACTTATGAATGACTTGATAATGATAGCACAATAAAGGATAAAATTGTTATTAATCCTGCTAGAAAATATTTATTTAATGAAAAAAGTTAGTTCAATTGTTTGTGGTTTGTGTTCAATTTACAATATAAACTGTTCCATAAATTTTTTGGAGTGGTTATAAAGAAAGTCTTAACTTTTATGTATTTGCAGGATAAAAGCTTTTGAGGATATTCTGGGAAAGGATGTTGTTGACTTTGACCAACTCCAGAAACTTGCATTTAATGGTAGGTGTGAGTTTATTTTGGTATAAAAAATGCATAGTATAATTAAATTATGTTGAAATTTTTATTCATTATAGGTATCCCTGATGAAAAAGGTCTTCGTTCCGTTGTATGGAAAATTTTACTACATTATATACCCCATGAAAAGGATGCCCGTGAGTCAACTTTAAAAAAGAAGCGTCAACTTTATTTGCAATTTATAGGTGAATATTAATTCTATGTTAACTATATAAAGATTGCAATATCACACTTAAAACTAAATATTTAAGTCAAAAAACCACCACTGCAAATAATAAAAATATATGCTTATGTAACATAACACATTGTAATTTTTACCATCACAGTTTTTTTACAATTCCTTTAAATGTTTGTATTTAAATTTTCTAATACAAGTTTTAAATATTAGTTATGCAATCCGAAACATATTACATCTAGTCATAATTTTTTTCTTCTTTTTTAACATATCTCAAAATATAATCATATTTTTATAGATGAAATCATAGTTACACCAGGTGGAGATGCTGACCATCCTCTTAATATAAGCCCAGACAGTTCATGGAGTACTTATTTCAAAGATAATGAAGTTCTTCTTCAGATCGATAAGGATGTAAGAAGATTATGCCCTGAAATCTCATTTTTTCAATCAGCTACAGAATTTCCTTGTGAGAAGGTAAAGCTCATTTTTGTACTGAAACTAATATTACCTCCTTATACTGTTAGCTAACTTTCTCTTAGAGATTCAATCTTGCTCATTTCTCCTGCTTCTGAAAATTATTGAACATTTGAATTAAATCTAACTTAGACTGATAAACATAAGCAATCTAACTTCTGAGCTTGCTCTAACAGACTTAATTGTTTTAAAAATTACACTTTATTTAAGATTTATCCTCAGATGCACAAACATCCATTATGTTTTAGTGATGAAGAAGCAAGCAAGCTCTAATGAATATTCTATTGTAAATTTTAATTTTTGCGCACTTTTATGACTTAGTTTTCATTTACAAAATTTATATCGCTTCATCACAAATCTAAAAATATTATAATACAGTGTGTCTTCTCCAAAAATAACAAAGTTATGGTCACCCATCCATCGACTGACTGTCCCGAATGTTGCCTAAACTCTGCAATCGCACATCTGACATAAAACGTATTCAACTCGATGTAAATCCAATTCGCAATTACTGTAGAGTAAATGAAGCTCGAATATCAAATTGACATCATTGCTATATTATCATGTTACCGATTTCGTCATGTATGTTTCCAGATAGTTAATAGCAATGGCATGAAACGACTTCACAAGCGTGTTGAGCAATCTGTATTGAAATATGCAACTCTCGAGCGGAGAGGCTTAGGTGTTGCAAAGGTAAATTATTAAAATATAATTATAATAAGTTAGGGAAAAAGTTTCTTCGTATTTTATATGAAAATTCAACACATTTTTAATAAAGTTTATTTACATTTAACTAAAGTATGTAGGTACCTTTTTGTTCGATAACTTTTTGCCCTCTTGTAGGTAGGGACTTTTTCCCATTGATATAGATAAAGAAACCGCGTCAAGTGGTTTTGGCAGTCGTGTAATGTTAACTTGACATTGCCTAAAGAATTCTAAACAGACCAAAACAGGTGGAAATCTGAAGGTGCTAGATCAGAACTATACGGCGGATGCATTAACACTTCTCAGCCAAACTCTTAGTGGAAAAGATGTGTGAGGTCTAGCGTTATCATGATGGAAAATTTCACCTCTTCTGTTGATTAATTCTGGCCGATTTCTCTCAACTTCTTGCTTTTATCTCATCAGTTGTTCGCAGTAGAGTTCAAAATCGATAGTCCTGCCTAGCGGTTACAGCTCATAATGAATAATGTCCTTCCAATCCCATCCATCCCATTCCATACACTCAGCATCACCTTGTTGTTGCAAACCCGGGTGGTTTCGCCACAGTCTGTGATGCCTGACCGACCTTTGACCGCGACCTTTTTCGTACGTTCTTGTCCACTTGTCATCACCAAATTCTTCAAAAATGGTTCGATTTCATTACGCTATAATAAAGCAACACAAATGAGTCCACGGATCATTCGATTTCTTTCAGCCTGTGAGGTACCCAAATATCGACCTTTTTTGTATACCCAGCTTTTTCAAATGAACCTAAACTATTTTGTGGTCGATCCCCAGTTCTTCAGCTACGTCGTAACAGCTGATATGCCGACCTAGCTCTGCTTTTTCAAAAATCACATCAAAATTTCAGGACTAAAGACGCTTGAATTCGCAGTTTTCCTCTTTAAAATTCAACAGTGTTATTACAAAAAAGACAAGCGCGCGTTGAATACGTGTTTATAAATGTTTCTATTACAAAATAGTATTTAAGCATTTGTTAAGGCTAACATCTAACATCCCTTAAACATCGTTTAAAATATAAACACTTGAGGGCTCAAAATAATGCGTTTTGTTGAAAATTCATCCATATACATAAAAATTGATATGGAGTTTAATAGCACCTTTTTATATTTTTAATGATACTGAAACCAGCCAGATGCAAATGATATAGCCAGATAGATTTTATTAAAAGACAAGACTTTTTCCCCAACCTAATATTAACTTAATGTCACCCAATAGGGGTGTAGACAAGTTTTTTTATATATTTTTATTTTATACATGAAAACATATAAAAAAGTATCGTTGAGATAATAAATTAAAATCTAAAAATTAATTTTTATCTTCAAAATTTCCTGCGATAAAGCACTTCTGACATGGCGTCGCTATGACGTCATGGCACTCTGTAACAAATATCGATCTATGTATGCATGAGGTATTTTTTAAGTTCTGCTACGAGTATGAGGGTCGTGACGTCACGCGCTGTTTGCGGTCACGTGCAACGAGGGTAACATATTAGTTTTCTCATAATTAATTTAAACGATATTATAAATATAATAAGCATGAAAGTGTGATTACCGGTAATCGTATATTAAATACTACCCGAAAAAAAAAATGTATTTATTTTCGTTGACTGTCTACAGCCGTATTGTCTAAATTCCAAAGTTTCACGTATTAATATAATTATGAAACAGAAACTTTGAACTTCATTTTGTGAAAATACGAAGAGTGTGAAAAGCGCAGTTAAAGTTTATTCATATCTATAGAGAAGTGCACAATGCTAATATTTTTATAATAATGCTTGAAATAACAATAAATTGCAAAAAAAATATTGTTATGGAAAGTGATTTCATATCATAACTTAATAAAGCCATTTTTCAATACGACAACTCGGTATAAGATGAGGAAGAAAAAAGTAGCCCTAGCCTAGTTTCTTGCCGTTCATCTACTCAGTAGACCGTAGTTAAAATTAATTAATTATTTTGATTTCATTTCTAATTTATGATTTTTCATCAATGTTTATGCATCCTATTATTTTCCTACCAAACACTTCTATAATGTACATAAGAAAATACTTATTGAAATAACTGTTATTTTAAATAATTTGATATAACAGCTGAGCAGCGAAATCCGTCGTTCAGACAGCGTAACTAGTGGAGATTATGTGCCCTTAAACGAAGGCTGCGAAGCGCATTGGGAGGTAGTTGAAAGAATGCTCTTCCTCTACGCCAAACTAAACCCCGGCCAGGGATACGTGCAAGGCATGAACGAAATAATTGGTCCCATATATCATACCTTTGCTAATGACGCCGACAAACAAAACAGAGGTTAGTATAAGTATAATTCTCTTAAAAAGATAAATATAGTTACAGTTAAGTTTAAAAATAAAGTTTTTTTTTTTAACTACAGTCTATGATATTATAAACAGTATTTCTGTAATATTTTCACAATATGAAAAATTATCATATCTAAAAATCTGTTAAAATTAATAATAATTAAAAACTAGTAAGGTTAAAATAATACACTATTCAACAATTCTTAAAAAAAGCCTCACATGGAAATTAATAATTTACTTATGTTGATCAATAGTAGTAAACACTGAATATTTAGATTATTAAGTAGACTTATTGTTTTCAAAATAATAACGGGTGCACTTCATTGTTGCTAACAACTATTGACGCTCGCTCAATCTAAGAGGGCTCGCTCCTTTGACCTTGTCGTATTTTATTCTACAAGGCAATATACATACTTTGGGTGTTAAGTAACACTATACTTGAATAGATAATATTGTGCAAAGCTCGCTGTAGCTGGCTGCTCTAGCACTTAAAGTAAACAGACTTTCGAATGTAACAGTAGTTGCAAAGCCGTGCACATATAGAATAAAAATTTGCACATACATTTTTTCCTGTATAAAACTAAATTAATTTTTTTGCTTCTTTCGTTCCTGTATAATTCTTACGTAATAAATAGGTCACGCCTTTTATACCTGTGACGTGCATAAAATGAAAAAATGTAGGCATGATGATTTAAGAGGTTTGTTTTTATTTTTAACAGAGTATGCTGAAGCCGATTGTTTCTTTTGTTTCACAAATCTTATGTCTGAAATCAGAGACTTTTTTATACGTACACTGGATGAGACTGAAAGTGGTATCAATTACATGATGAACAGGCTCGGCAGTTGTCTGCGAACTCACGATCCCGCCGTGTGGGATCGTCTGGAATTACAAGAGTTACGCCCGCAATATTACAGTTTTAGGTGAGCACATATCGCATATATAATAACCAGAGGTCGGAATTAGGTAGAGTTATTTATGTACTTGCATCGAAATGTTGATATTAATGTGGACCTTCGGGGTAACATCGCGCGTATTGGTATTTTGCAACTTTGGACATCCGATGTCATTGATGTAAGTTTGGCAACGTCGTGCGTGCAGTAGTTTAAATTGTGTAAAAGTAAATAACTTTTTATTTAAAAAATCACGGGATTTATTCTGCTCTTTAAAATTAATCTCGGGATTTGAGGCATATCCACTTTATTCTTTCGCTGTATGAAATCAGTGTAAGTACATGAATAACTCTACCTAATTCCGACCACTGACATTAACATAAGGCATACCTTTAAAAACAACGAGAAGCTATCAAAAATTTAATCACCATTATGTTCTTTCATGAGAATGCAACAGTTAGCAGTAATTTTTAATAATAATTTGGTAAACAAAATCTTTTTGGAATTAGAACTACATATAATTTATGAATTTTTATTAGCCAAAATATTATTCACTGAACATCAGAAAAAACTCGCTAATCGCGCTAATCTCATCTCATAAATATATAAGGGTTGGGTATAGGGGTAATAATTTAAGGGATGAAATACAGTCTTTCCTCGTCATCTTTTTCCTGTCGTCCAAAACCATCTTTTACTAAAGCGAGACATTTATATGATGTCTATCGCCTCGAGCATACCGCGTCTTACTATCGGACATCCGCAATATCGCTCGCTCTTGCAAATGAGAGTTATGAGTGATAGAAAAAGACAGAGCAACGGAAAAAACGATACCGTGTTACCCAACATGGACTTAAAGTCTAAAATGGTCGCTCTGTTACGTAACGTGTATTATAAGGTTTTTTTTTACCATTATTTATCGAACTTGTTATCGACAGATGGCTAACGTTGTTGCTGTCTCAAGAGTTTTCTCTACCTGATGTCGAAAGAATTTGGGACTCGTTGTTTGCTGACGAGAACAGGTTCAACTTCCTTATTTATATCTGCTGTGCCATGATCTTGTGAGTACTATTTATTAATATTTTAGTAAAAAGCCATTTTATATTTGAGGCTGCAATTATGAAATTAAAAAGAATACGCATAAGCAGACAACTATCATCTTATTAGAACAGTTATCGTTACAGTATTATATTTAAGATTTAATATCACTGTTTGTTTTCCCAATATAAATATTAATATACAATGTGGATATTAATAGGCTGTTTTAAGGCCTTTTTAATAGTGCAGAGGCCTTCCCTAAGGATGGAATCAAATAGAACCAAATAAGAAGAATTGGTCTTGATCCACCATGCGAGTCCAGTACGAATTAGCGTGTGTTAACACTTCAGATGCACCAGGGACCAACCGTTTAAGTGCCCTCCTTTCTAGATAATAAATGTTGGTTCATTTGAAAATCAAATTAGTGGAGTGTGCGTGAAATACATCCTGTTTTGTGTCTTATATACTCCAAAATAATCTATACTAATATTATAAAGCTGAAGAGTATGTTTGTTTGTCGTGCTAATCTCAGGAACTACCGGTTCGAATTGAAAAATTCTTTTTGTGTTGAATAGACCATTTATCGAGGAAGGTTTTAGGATATAACATCACGCTGCAACTATTAGGAGCGAAGAAATAATGGAAAACGCGAACGAAGTCGCTGGCGGCCACTAGTAATAAGATAATTAATAATGTATATATTTTAATCAATATTTTTTTAATAAAAATATCAATTTAATCTTTATTGCATTATAGCAGCAGTTTTTAAAGTTGTTTGGTCTCCGAATCATCTAACCAAACTTCCTAAACTAGAGAATTAGCTTTTTCTATGATCGGAATAGAAAAATAAATCATACAGCGGCGAATGTTTAGAAAAAAACTTCGAGTTCACATCGAAATTTTCAGGTTGGTTAGAGAGAACTTACTGAACGGTGACTTTGCGTCGAACGTGAAACTACTGCAGAATTTCCCTCCGATGGACGTATCTCTCATTCTGAATAAGGCCGCCGAGATAGCCAACGAATAATACAACACCGATGTTTTGTACAAACTATATATAAAGATAATACAACTGTTTTGTATGTTACCTTTTTATATTATATTATAGATTTCTAAAGGGCATTTCAAATTAAGACTTGTATCATATTGTAAGTGACATTCCAATTATTGATTATCGCGACGATGTTTAAATTGGCAATTTGAATGTCATCTTTTTTTTTAAATAAATTATACTGTCCATATTAGGGTATGGTTACAGTGCTTGTATAGGGCACGGTTTCGTTATAGTACGGTCAATAAAATGTATCATATATGGAACATGGGAGTTTGTATATGACACTGCAAACCACCAGATGAAAACTACGTTCTAATGGGATTCAGTAAATTTATCATTTTTTTACAAACTAAACAAATTAACAATATGTTTCTGCTTTTATAGACGTAGAAACAATAAAAAAATAATATTTTTAAATAAACATATTCCTTAAAGATATATTATAATTATACAAAACTAGCTATTTGAATGAAATGAAATGAAAATATCTTTATTCAAGTAGGCTTATGACAAGCACTTTTCAAAAAAAAATTTTCCATTACCACTTGTTCAGGACGTCTTTTAGAAGTATTATAGTATTTCCGAAGATTACTTATTTACAAACAAAAAAAAACGAAGCTATGCAAAATAGGGTAGAATTGCGTCATTTCATGCAGTTGTCAAAAATCAACCGCTAGAAGATGTGAATGGGTTTTATAATTAATTTAAAAGTGCAAGAAGTTTTCTTTATACATCTTCTATTGACTATTAATAAAATAAATAAAATCATCATCATCAGCCGTGCGACGCCCTCTGCTGAGTAGGCCTATTCCCCATAGATCTCCATGACTCGGAGTCGGGACATGAAGAAATCGTTCCTGTGCAGGCCGCATCTTTATCTTAACGTCGGGCCACGTGGTGCGGGGCCTACCCACTAAACTAATCTTCGATCAACAAAACAACTAGATAACCGGTCAGTTTCAAAAATAGCCGAAGAAATAACGCTTGACTTTAAAGTGAGATCTTATATTGTTTTAGTTTGTTTGCGACAGCGCCAACGTTGGGATGTGCTACGATGCAACATTGCGTATTGAAACTGTTTGTACAACTGGCTGTAAGAGTATTGTTTTATTAAGCGAGGCGTTATCTAGTTGTATTGTTGATATGGTAGGATAATAAATAAATAACCAGCACAAAATAAAATCAGTATAGGTAAAAAATTTTCGGTGTATAGCAATATTATATAAAATGATGTAAAGTGGCCGTGCGGATACATGATACATTTTATTATAATCTATACAACACTGACGACCATGCCTACACACGGAAAATTTACGTAGAAAAATATGTGTAGTATATAAGCGACATGATGAGTTCAATTTCATAAATATGGTAGTGTTGATGTTCACTGTTTTTTAAACTCAACATTTGACGCAACGTATCCTAACGAATCCTCCTTGATTTTTACCCTAAAACTGGTAAAACAATGGACATTTTTAACGCCGCTATATTTACTTTTATTAAACTATAAATTAGCAATGTTTGCTTAAGAACTGAACTAGGTAATAATAGATAACGAAGAATAGGGTATTGACATTGGCCGTAATAAGTTACCTATTGACATGGTGTCGTCTTGAATAAGTAGATCTTTAAGTTATTAGATTATAAATCTTTCCATGATTTAATATACTTGACAATATTATCGCTTAATGCTCCAATCAAGATTAAATATTATATGTTAATTTTTATTTAATGTTAAAAAGTATTTCATTAGGGGCCTACGGTTTGGATCATTCTGATCTCTAATGTATTTTGCTTTTACAAACGCCATTAAGTTACAATTTCGTTAAAGTAGTTGTTAAACAAAAACACAGCAATAATCACTAATATTTCTAATGGGAATCCCAAAACACCTACAATACACATAAAAATACAGCTTATTTTATTGGTCCCTAATGAAAAATCTCATACTTAATCATCAGTCTTTTTTAATAATTTTTAATCATAGTTTCTCTATCTTCGAGGCATATCCCTTGTGGGTTGGCAGAGGTTTATTTCAATATGATAAAACCAGTTATATTTTATATTTTTATGATATTTTGTTTTAGTACAAATTAGTACATTTTATATTATAAGACTACCACAAGTGACAATCGAACTCTACCTTCATTCCGTGCCTTCAGCTTTCTGTGCAATCGTTTTAGAGTACTGGGGCATCGTGGTAAAGCTCTGTCGAAATCTGTGAACGTACTCACGGCTGCACGTTAAGCCACCACAGTATGTCAAACTCAATTTATTAAGGTTTAAAATCAAGTGCAGTAATTTGTCAGTTTTGTATAGCCAAATTTGCTGTTGACTGTACAAAATTCAAGTTGTTTCCGTTTAAATTTCCTTGTTTTCCCTAAATACATATATTTTATACTTAGATCTAATTAATGTTCTCGAATTTTTTTGCAAGCGTATGAATACGTATAAATAACATAGACTTGAAATGATCATCCGAATTATGATATATCAATGATTTGTACTTGTTCGTACTTAATGTGGCAAAAACGGTGACCTTTTGGAAGTTTTTGTTAATTAGTTTTATAACGACCCCACGAATGAATATTTCTGGCGCTTAAACACGTTTTAATTAAATTACATTTTATATTCGTTTATTTTTAACGAGTTTTAAATAATTGTTATAAATTTTAAACTAGTGCGCATTTGTCATCACACTATCAGCACGTCCCGGAGGCCTAATACTCTTCAAATAATGTTGTGATATTCTTAAAAACAGCTTTTCAGTTCTTTGTGGGTTAAAATCTTTGCGTTTGTAAATTAGGGCCAGTACACATTGTCGTTGGGTGAATGCTTTATACACTATACCTGCCGCTTAACGGCGACCAGGGGATGTGTGGGACACTCCATCCACACGGACCCACCCTAAGGCAAGTCAAAACAGTTCCGATTCGATAGATCATTTTTATCGATTTATAAAGCGTGCCTGCAGGTTGCGATTTGCGTCTCATTTTCGGTCATTGATCATTGTTTTATAGACCCGCAAATGAGCCCGCTCAATAAATATTTAGCAACAATTCCACTAGAGCCTAATAATCAACTTAATAGCTGTGCTTGTATCATACGAAGTGTAAATCTTAAATCTTGACTGCTCACATTCAAGATACTTGAATTACAATGTGGACTGACATCATTTATTTAAAACATAATAATGGAACTTAGCTTTAAGATTTTGTAAACATAAATGTCAACTTATATCCAATAAAGTTACTTACGAGAAAAGTAACAAATAATATACCTGTTTCGCCATATTAGGAAAGATAAATATTTTAGTTTAGCTTAAAGTATCAACCAAATTCATTTAAGTATAATATCCTAACGCAACTTGTTTGGGCGCAGTTAAATAATATATCTAACTACTACCTAGGGGGACCACTTATAAGATGATTAGAGATTGCGCCGCGTGAGATCTCTACTCGTTATGCCTCTTCTCATACATATATTATGTGAAACCCAATAGCATGAAAGAAAATGGAGAAATGCAATTTCATTTGCCACTCGACTTTAGCTGTATAAGATCTTTTGTGTAAAGGTTTTTGATTTATAGGTCTTACTTTTGTAAGTAAAAATTCTAAGGTAGGATAGACCCACCAAGCTATTGCAACTCAGCTTGGCGCGCAATTTTGAGTCCATCAAAGACTTTAATAATTAATGTGTATTTCAATTATAACCCAGGAACCTCGATTGACGTTTCAAATTAACTGTTGTCATGAACTAATACATATTACCTTATGGATTAATTGTTATTCCTATTGAGAATTATCTGTATCAATATTTCGCAATATTCTACTACTTCTATGATCGTTTTATCAGCGATTTCCACTAACCGAGGCGACGGCGGAGCGCAACGGAACCGACCGCATGTGCCCGACGTATCTGTAGAGATCCATATATTATTAGATATTAAAAATTGTCTTCAGTGTACCGTTTCACTCACCCGCCTGTCAAACGGCACAAAATATGGCCAAAATATTTAACAATTATATATAAACCTTAATTTCCTTTAGTACAGTGTGAAACGCGCTTCAACAGTCCCCTGCTTGCCGGTTGGTGGAGATCGTAAATATACAATAATAAATTTATTGTAAATGACAACGCGCGGTAAATTTTTTGCGGCCTAAGTTAAATGATTTCGTTAAAATATAAAATTTATAAAAAATTAAATAGGTACTACTAAAAATGTAATGTCGATTATAGCTATTTTTGATAGCAATATTGCAATATGTGTAAGAATGTATTGGTTTTATACTTATGTATAGATTTATTTGACAATAACCAACATATCTTTCTTCAAATTATCTTTATAAATGTAATTAATAGTTGATTTATTTATATTACCTATATATCCACGCCGATCATTGGTCAATTTTCCAAACATGTGGAAGAGTAATTCCAAAACTATAGTGCACTGTTGTATAAATGCGAAGCGAAACAAGTTAATTTCGTTTGGTTTTGGCTTTGATTTTCATCATCGCTTCATATCTTTGATTATTGTACCAAAGTTCACAAATTATTTTCGTTTCGTAGCGCTTTAATACTCAAAACAATGATTGTTTGCTTTTTGACATAATAGCATTTGATACTTTTATTTGTGTGACATTCTTGCCTGTTATTTTTTATATTTTAAAAGTACACATAACTATACGTCAGGTTACGAGAATATGTCAAACTCCCAGAAATGATTTTGAACTTTGCCATCGATGTACTAAGTTTTATTTATAATCTGGTCGAGTTTGACAGATTTGTACAACCTAAAGTGTTGTTGACTGTACTCATGTATTTATTTAAAATTTCCCTTTCATTGTAAAGTCACGGTTTCATACTACTTTTTAAATAAAAATTATTTGATAACGTTGTTAAGATTTGCATAATTCTTTTTTATTCTTAAATTATATATTTGATAGAATTTTAGTCCAGCCAAATAAGCACGGCGAGTGGCCGACCACGGGATGAAAGATAATGGGGGCTATTTTGTAGCACAAAATAGACCCATATTATAATATTCCAATTTTAAAAATATATTAAACAAACTAAAATCAAATTTCCAAAAGTAACAATTTTGATGTGCACTCAATCGTTTTTGATAGGTATTTATTGAGACTTATTAAATTAAACTGTATCCGAGTTTCCAGATTATTATGTTATCTTCGATTCCGAAGTCGAACGCTAGTTGATGCTTTGGCTTTTTATATGCTGTTTTTTATGTACCTACATGTATATTTTGAACGTTGTGGTTTAAGTTTTTTCTTATAATATATATATTGTGATCATAAAAACCTGTTATTTTATTATCCTCGTCCATATGTTTTCAAAATCATAAGAAAAAGGGCGCATGAAACAATTATAACGCAGGTAGGACCTGAAATGCCTTTGATGCACAGATAATCTTCACAGATATTAACAAAATTACAAAAACTATTCGAAATATTAAGAAATTTCGTTCGAAGGCAAATAAAATAGGTTGTCAGTGTCATGTTAATTCATACGAGTTACTTTTTAGGGTTTTGTACCCAAAGGGTAAAAACCGTCCGTCAGTCACCAGGCTGTATCCATGAACCGTAAAAATCAACAACAAATAATAAAAACCGGAATAAAATAAATATTTAAGAGGGCTCCCATACAACAAACGAGATTTTTTTGGTTGTTATCAGTCTAACTATTTAAAGTTCATGAGATAGTTGCAATATTCACAGATAATGTAAAAAAATAAATGTACATTTATTTAAGGGGCTCCCATACCATAGTTAGTTAAGATTTTCACATATGAAGAACAGAAATACACTGTTGTCACTATAACAACGACTATTAAAAAACAAAAGCTATTAATTTTTAAGGGCGCTCCCATACAACAAAACTATTTTTTGGTCGATTCAGTACGGAACCCTTCGTGCGTGATTCCGACTTGCACCTGATCGGTTTTTTAACATGCGTATTAAAAAACGCTATTCAGATTTCATAACAAAACGCCTGTCGAGTTTATATCGATAATGTCATCATCATCGTTACGTCCTTTTACGTCCCCACTGCAGGGGCTCAGACCTTCCTTATGGATGGTTAAGGAGGATGGGCCATGACCCTCCACGCTGGCCCAATGCGGATTGGAGGGTATTAACGACTGCAAAGCCATCCCGTGACCGACCCTTGCGAAAGTTGCTTAACGACAACGATCGCTTACCCTCTAATCCACCGAGCTACTTTAATGACGCTTTAAAGTAATGATAATTTTATGGACGTCTGTGTATCAGACTTATCTTTTAAAACTTCAACTTTCACGGACAAATTATTGCATACCGTTCCGAACTTAAGATTTCGAGGACTTTAGTTCACTACCAACTTACCGTGGGTATAAAAAATTGATAAATCTGTAAATTCACCAAGCTTACTTAACAAAACTGTAATGTACTTCATAACAAGAGATAGCGCATCACCGTCCACGATTTAAGAGGGACCAATTAGGTAATGTACAATAACTCTTGCAACGCCTTTAAAGATTTAATATAAATAATTACAATGTAATTGATTTGTACATATTCATTGATTGACAATAATAGAAAGTAAATATTTTATACAAATATAATGTCATTTTAATTTTTATTACACATACAGCTAATACATTGTAAAATATAGGAAAATGAACATACTTCACATTCATGTCGATTATAACGGTTAAGGTAATCAAGTAAATTTTCATCTATTTTTTTTTTTTTCAACATCGAAGCACATTGTGCATCAAGAGCTATTAACTACTGTTTAAAATATAGAACCTTAATGTCAGTATTTTACTCAGAAATAAAAACTTTATTAAGGAACATAGTTTAATCTCTGATTCATAATGTGTCACAATATAATTCTTCATTAACACATGCATATTATAATTTTATTGTATATATTACATAATTACATAGATACAGTAATATATGATCATGAGAGCCATAACGTTGCGTCTAGTGGCATATGTGAGAAATAAAACTTATTAAGAGACACACTTCTTCTGATTTTTACAACGAGTAAAATATAGAGGGAAGAGAATCTCCAATAGCACCAGATGTGATGTTAGATGACCCTAATAAACACGATGTAATGGCCCTCACTATGGCATATTATGATCATAATTTTGTGCCCAACAAAAACACATTAAAAATAATATGTATGTGACATAAAATCATAATAAAAAATAACGATATCGATTAACAAGCACCTATAGTAAGATCTAGAAATAAGTAAGAATGTAAAATGAGATTGTAATGTATTAACTTTATAGAAAGCTTCGTTCAAAGTTGGCAATATGTTAAAACTGCGTAAACTTGAACTAATGTGATGTGGTGATCTATCTAACATAGTAACAGAATGGACGTGTACATAATCCTTTTGTTAACTAAAGACGACTCGCCTTTAGTACGCAAATGGTTTATTATTCAAATAAACAGTAATTGTACGAATTCAATATTAGCAAAATGACAATCACTTTGTACAGTTTCGGCTCAAGCAATCTGGTGGAGATTATACATAGAGGTATATTCTAAATGAAGCCATCCTAATTGCAGCTACACCACTATTTCGTATAACATTTACGTCGATTGCATAATGAGGCATTGAATATTCTACAAATATGTCAGCATAATCGTTCTGGATTATCCATGTGTCCAGAAAGCTATAAAATTGGCCCTTACAAGACCAGGCTCGTTGTTGCCTTTGTCTTAAACAGCATTCTCTTAGCGCATTCTAAGTAATAAAAAACCTAAGCAATAGAATAGAAAATAATTTATTTTTCAAACAATTTATAAGTCAGATATCCTAACTATGTCTGCCTAATTTCCTATCTACCTTATCGATGCCAACCTCACGGATCGCACGCCTAATCTTTACATGGGACATACAGGTCCGACAATCATTTATACAGATAAACGTCAGGATTTGCTTCACTTCAATAATTCTACATTCCGAAATATATTACTCTTTTAAATGGTTTTTTTTTTTTGAGGAAAATAGTCCTTTTAATAATTTAAAATATAATTTATTTTATAGATTTCAATATTATATTGTTAGTCATGCGCATAAAATGGCTTGCATCACATCCAGCAAACAAATATGAACACACAATTGTCTGTGTGCCATTGAAGACTATTATCACTAACCAGTTGCACAAGTATCTAGTTCACTATCAACCGCGTCGTAAATAATTATAAATTCAAATGAAAACACAGTCTTAATATAAATTTTATTCAAAATATCCCAATTTCATGAACTGGTTAGCCACAATATTACAGTTATAGAGCACAACTCCGAATGTTTGCGTGTACACTATTGGACGCAAGCGTGAATCCTAGAGGAGATACTATGTATATAATAACTAACAACAGTAGTAACAGTTTATATGTAATACAATTTTCTCTCTGTGGAACTACTGTTATATAATAATAATAGACGGACAATGAGCAAACACAAACGTGGATTCATAATGTTTAAGGTACATACATGATATTATATTAATTTTTTTAAATATCTCTCTCGATTTATCCAAGAATCGAATGTCATAAAATGTCATTATGATTTAAGGCCACTATGAAGCGTCCAACTAAATATGATAAGTTTGAGTTTGTGTAGATTTTAATATGGCATGTACGTTACATATTTCAATCAATTTTAAATAAAATTTATTTGTCACATAAGCATATACAGATCTTTTTTTTATACTTTTTCAAATATTTTTTAGTTTATGTCTATGATTGAATGTCGTACCGAATACTGTATTAGTATTTTTTTAGTTGGACTCTACAATGGGGACCTAATCGTCTGTGTGTCTACGGGGAACTAACATTCGTAATCCAGTTTCACATGATCAAGTGTAGTTCCACATACTTTAAACATCTGATATTTGCAATATTTCAATAAACATCCTGTATGTATTAATAATACTTTCTTTTGTCATAAATAAGGATATAAAAATATACATTTAAATTATGTCAATAAACATTATTCAACTCAGATTTAACTTTAAAATAACATTATATTAAATTATTACATGCATCATTGATTCGAAATGAGCAGAACGGCAGAATTATTTTGTAGTCACATTAAATGTAAAAAATTTCTCATAATATAAAAGCTTTTAATATGTTACCGTAACTTTGCCGAGATTCTCATAGGTGAAAAAAAAAACAAGATATTTTCTTTACTTTTACTTAAACATCACATGCACCTTATAACGCGCTCGTCATTGTTTACCAAATACTTACGTCTGAAATGTAACATCCAAAAAACTTCAGACTATAATCTAAACAAAATAAATACTTTTAAGTTTGTACCCTAAAGTTCAATAAAAACTTAGCATAATATAATAATAAAAACAATCTTAACAGAAGAGCAAAACGAAATCATCATTATATATCAACGAAACATTTTATGAAATATAATTGAATAATGTATGAGAGCCAATCTAATGATAGTTATGATGGGTGAACACAGAATATTTCGGGTGTATGAATGAATGTTTAGCTCGTGGCAGGCGCGTTTCCATTTGGGAAATAGGGGAAAAGCAATTCTCCAAATAATCGCAAGTACCTTTAAGCCTATGGATAAACTTAAATTTTTACATTTTTTATTCCAGACTTATCGGAAAGATTAAGCCCCGAATAAAAAATTAAAGGAAAATTAGATGAAATAAACAAGACACTGAATAAAACAAAGAGAGGTAGTATTAATTCCTAGCAAACCATTACCATTATAGTATAATTTCTCAATACTCTTCACCTCATTGTAACTGTAAAAAAAACTTATAAAAGAGCAGAATGTGAATAAACTGGAATTTGAAAGTAACTTTGAATTGTTTCTTGTGAGAGCACCAAACCCTTACTCGTAATATGGTGAAAATTTTCTTTTGAGCTTATCATAGCGTTATAATGGCATTAGCAGTTTCGGTTGAGACGTCTTTTTGAACAGATAAAATGAGCTAGATTGCGCTCCCTTTTCAATAAACCAAATTGTGGACTCGCGCCTGGCTCGTAGCATGTAGGGGGAGAATCGAGATGTGCTTACTGGATCACGCAGCATTTGCACTTGGGCTTCTTCTTGATGGTGACGTGTTCCGGCTGCTGGGGCTCGGCGGGCGGCGAGCGCTGAACCTCCACTGGTCCGGGGCCGACGGCGCCGTTCTTGGTGCCGTTCATCACTTTGGGAGTGTTCTGTTGCACGGGACTTGCCACCTTTGTCTGCGGCGACGGCGGCGCTTTCGCCTAAAACAATATAATATTATTCATTGATATTTTCACCCTTCATTTGTGCATTTTTCATCAGGGGCCACTCCAAGGCATGCTATGCCACTGGTAAGGGGCTCCAATTGTCCACACTCGAGACTCTTTAATTCTTTAATTTATTTTTTATTTTAAAGAAAAATGATAGCTCCCTTCTAGGATATTTAATAAAATCTTTATTTTAAATTATAGATATATGTAATTTATGTCGAACTGTTGCGTTACAAACTCCTAACCTCTGTTTTTTTTCTTTACTGCTTGCCATGAAGAAAATTAAGCCAAACAATTATGTAAACCGACGATAGTAATATAATCCGACTGTTTATCAATAACCATCAACTTATTATAGTGCTGTTCGGCCGCCCCGTGATCTGATAGAAATAATAAGCCAAATTCTAAATTTAACCATTTAAATTCCATTTCTCTTAAATTATTTATCCAATGTCAAAAAATCAACTGCAAAACAGATAGCTTCTGTCTCAGTAAGTCTATTTTATTATTTGTTACAGTTTTCCTTCCTTGCTTTATTAAAAGATAAGAGTAATCTACCACACTTAATAAAGCTGACGTCACAGATGCGAAGTGTCTTATGCATGTCCTGGCAGCAGGCCAAACAAGATAGTACCTCAAGTGGAAGCAAATAAACAGGGCTCTACATTCCACTCATATATAGATCAATCTATCACAGCTAAACCGTTCACGTGATCTAAAGTAGTAGTAATACTGGTACGAATTAACATGACACATGGCCTATTCTAATTCAATGAAAACGCAATTTTATCTATTTTCGAAATGCTAATACGAATCCAAAGAATGATCGAATAAAGAATATCTCATTCATCATACTCAAAATCATAGAGTTTCACACAAACCAACTGTAATAAAAATAGAATTAGTTGAACTGCAGATATTAATAAAAACTAATTTTATCTAGACAATTGACATTTTAATAAAACTTTATGTGATAATGTAATAAAATCAATACTACTCTCATTTTACTGAAAACGCATATTTTGCATATTCGGTGTTCTTAATATTATAGATTTTTAGGACTCTTTATAGATTTAAATAACATAATATATAGAGCAAGGGATTCTCTAGACATCTCCACTCCACACTTTAGTAGAAAATCGTTTAATCACAAACATTTTGTAGATAATTTCACAAACTACCAGGCTAAATACCACGCCTCCCAAAACAACTTCCACCAGACAATACAAACGACGCAAAGGAACTGGAAACGAACGTTCTGGTGAGAGAAATTTAACCTATTCGAAGGTCAACTTCATTCCAAATACTAGATGTCTGAACTTAAATGGATTCGACCTTCGAACAGGCGAAATTTAAACGAGTTGCAAAGACACAGTAAAATCACAACAAAAGATAGCACGGAATAACAATACTAATGAGACTTATATCACCACCAGCATTATTATAATGGTGATGATATGCTGGCCTCCCCTGTGGATGGAATAGGCCATGACCTACCGTGGCTATGACGCATGCCCAGTGTGGATTGGTAAGTGTAAATGACAGCAGATGCTTATCGTGTATACGTCGGTTTGACGGTACGGAGGAGTTTAAGATAATAATTCATGGTCACCCATCCTGTGACCTGCCATTGCGAAAGTTGCTTAACAACCGTATCGCAAACCGAATGTACTAACCAAATCGCTATCGATAACACTTACATTGACATTATTCGCATGTACCGCCTCCTCCTTTTCCTCGCAGATGGGTATCTGTGGCGCAGACGCGGGCGTGGGCGTAATAGGCTTGCCACATTTAATCAGGGATACGATCTCATCAGCTTCGCGACTTAGATCACCATCAGGTCGAAAAGGATTGTCCCAACCCCTCTCCGTACTGAAATTAACAAATTTAATAATGATTTAACGTATCTGAAAAGTTCTCACTTGAGCAGAATCATCCATTATTTCTGATTTTGATACAGTTCTAATAACATGAGTTTAGTTCTGATGGTTTTATAACAGTGAAAACTGGTAAATATCGTATTTATAGTATGTGAATCAATTTGAAGTCCAAAGCTGATATGAGCGATGCCGACTTGACAGTTATTTAATTAATTACAGACTGTTTTGGTGTTTTATTCCGCGTAATTAGTTATTGTCTACTCTATCTCAAATGGAGATCCATTGATTTGTTTCTCTTTTGTTATTGTTTTCCAGCGTTAGGTTTTTCACGAAAATCTTGATATTTTAGTAAAGAGTGAACAGCCAATAAGTCATCTATATAACTTTTATTTATTATATATTATTTCATCTATATAATAATATCCTTTCCCATATAACATTGGATGATACATATTTATTAGTAAAATACCTGGCCCCTTTAATTGCAATATTTCCTTTCGTATGAAACTGTATTTATAAATATTTATAGTCACGTTTGTATCTCATTATTTATTTAAATACTAATATTCAGAGAATACAATCTTTAATTTAGTAATGCAACCTACCAATACATAAAAACTAAATTTTAAATAATTAGTACCTGCCATTAAAAAATAAAAACTAGAAAATTGTTAATAAATTGAGTAAAATAGATCTAGCAACTCTTAATTTATATAACTGTGAATTAAAATTGTGAATAGCATGTTTTGGGCCGGGTATTATTACTGCAAATTCGCTAAATAATATATGGCGACAGGAAGATTGAAATTAGTTTTAGAATTTTTTATTTTTAGATAAATTATAAACAGAAGCAGGATTTAGAAAGGAGCTAGCACTCCAAACTGTCTCATATAAAGATATCTGTTATATATCGAAACATATCACAAACAAAGCGACATTATCTAAATCAGATAAAAGATTAAAAGCATTCGAGTCAAATCTTAAAATAGTCAATAATCAGTGTTTAAGCACACCCATATTAAAATTTTCAATAGAATACAATTATGTGGCCGTTGCGATCTGGTGACCCAATCAATGTTCAACATTGTGTCTGTTTAGATGCTTTTTATGTTCGTAACATAAAACGTCTGCCGATGGCGTCATTCCATTTAATTCCTCTACTTGGACGCAATCCACTTCCAGTGACCTCACACGAGTCCATTATATAATGCAATGAGTCTAAATCTATTATACCTACTAATTGTTCAGTTCTTAATTTGATTAGGATTTTCATCGAAGTCTCAGAACATAAAATAACAGGTTTTTAACAATACGAGTATATCGGTTTAAGTTTAAATGTATTATCTATTGTTAGAAACTAATGACATACAATAATAACAAAATCATATTAGTTTTGAATGTCTGTGTATGGTTCTATTTCGTTGAAGTTGATGCGATTTTTTCTTTGTGATTTGATAGTTTTCTAGTAATATGAATATATGCGTTAGTGTTGAACCAAAAATGTACAATTAGTTACAAGAAGATTTTAAAATTTTAGAGGCAACCTTGTATTTTTTCTCGTTTCGGTTCTTTTATATTTTCTTATTAAAAAACTGAAAAAACGTAACGCTCATTCGATCGCAGGATGGATCTCGATTCTCTTGGAACGGCATTTTTAACTGTAAATTAGTTACCTACTTGTAATAGCACCTCATTTTCGGCGGCTTCAGTAACCAACGCAAAAAGTATTTGGCTTTATTTTCACTTTTTATATTAACCACATTAATGAACAGTTTTGTGATATCAAACTCAGTTGTGGACTTAATTAATAATTATTTACGTTCGATTGCGATTGCTATATGCAAGCATCATCATAATCAGGCAATTAGTGTCTTGACTACTGCATATAAGCCATCAGAATAATGAGAACGAGCCATAGTGCGGATTGGTGGGTACTAACGAGTACAGAGTGCAGATGCAGCTGAAACCAATTAATGCACCCTATGAAAGCTCGAAAAGAGCATGAGCTTAATAAAATTTTTGGGCACAAAAGAAATGACAGAGAAAGTAACTTTCGGAATTACAGATCAAACACACTCCTCCGCAATAGACAACAATAGACAATACTACGTAGAAACGATAGATAATTATGGATAGCGATATATGTCGTTTTCTATTAACGCACAATATTTTGTGCCCTTGTCGATTTTTTCGCCTGATCTCGGAACAGTCTCGTTACATTTACAATAGCTATTCACCTGTTCTGTCTGTTGTACACGTGGTCAGTCATATCGGCGTTGGCAGCGGCTGAGAGTAGTGCCGCGTACAAAACGTGCGTGTCTTGGGCGGGCGGAGGTGACACGCACTGCGGCCGCGCCCCTTGGTAGAACGATACTCGGACTTTCTCCGAACTGTAACATTATCATATTTAAATTATCAATAAAATATGCTTTCTTAAAAAAATCATACAACTCTTTTGAAGATTGTAGAATAATCTAAGCGAAGCATGAATATGAACTAAGATATTACAGAGCAAACAATATTGTTTCTATGGAAACATTGGCAATTTTAATACATAAATGTAGGGTCGGTGCATGTCTGATTGAGGACGCGATACGTATCGTCAGTCGAGGAAAGTCGGCATTCAACCTTGCACTCTCAGCGGATGATCCGTCACCGTCTTTAGTACAAAGAATACTTCAGTGAGACGCTTAAAGGAATCAGATCAAATTTTCACAAAACCTCAAAATTGATGTAGGTTTAAAATTAAACTAATTTTTTTTTCTTTGAACCTTTTTTTAACAATTTTAGTAACCTAGTGTTGAATATACTTCGATCCAAAATATCAATACCTATTTATCAATTCTATGATTTCCACAAATCTATACTCTAAAATAATTTAATTAATATATTAATAATTTAATAAAATAAAAGCCTTGTGCATTCAGTTATTATATACATTTCGTTTTTACATAATCAAACCAATAATAAAATTGACAAATCTTGCCAATGGCACAGCATGAGTAACACAGTCTCAATTTGGTCTCAATGCTGATGCAATTCTATATTATAAACCCAATACAACTGCAAACAATTTGTATAAATTCGCCTTTGCAATATGTAAATGTTGCTTGGAGAAAAAGGCACGGTAGCGGCGCATGCATTAATTTTGAAGGTGATTCAATGATGGCTCCTCCTCTATTAGTGTATGACTATGTTCAACACCCACACATTCTTTAAATTGCGTTTTAAACATCTTGTTGCTATTGGGCATCTAATCATGATATTTTTCATTAAAAAAGTTACGCTATTAAATGTACCTTCATTATTTCTTCCTTAACTATTTAATTATTTGTTCAAAATAATTTATGAATAGGTGTACCTATCTAACCAAAAGTAGATATAATGTAACATAGCGTTTAATAGATATATTCCTGTGTAGATAACACACCAGAGCAAACGCCTACATATTCGTCTAGTATTCCTTCATGAGTTATAATCAAGTGTAATAAAATAAAAACTGTGACGTCACCACATATGCTCCTTTAATGGCAGATGATTCAACAACAGGCAAAAATAGAGAAATATCATCGCACAGCTTAATTGACATAGCCCCAAGGTCGCATGTAGCATACTCGCCTCGCAAATGAATAAATAAATATAATAACAAATGGTTTATCATTGCTTTCAATAAGAAAAAACTGCAAATTATTTACATTTCCATATTATCTTTTACTTTGGCTAAAAATAATAGTCTGATTTGACTTCATACATTTACTTATTTATAATCAATAATAAACTGCAAAAACTTTTTTATGACTGAGTTTCTTATGTTTTATTGACATTCAAACTATGTAGGCCTGTTAAATTATTAATTAATTTTTTCATAATTCTTTTGATATAAAGCAGTCTTGTTATATAGTCTTGTATACATGTGGTATGGTAAAATGTTTTTAATAGAATGTAGTTAAATATGTTTGGACTCAGAATCATTTATATTTAGGAAATGGTACTGTTAAAATAACCTCACCAATACATCTTTATATACTTCTCAAAATATTACAACTCAAACTGGACAAAATATTGTCAGGGGAATAATAGATCATAAAATTCCTATGATCTGATTTATCATAAAAGTACATTTAGTACTTTTAGTACTTTTATGATCTCATTATACAAAATATAAATAAGTCCTTGAACTACCAAAACTGAGTAGTGTTAATATCAAATCACATTTTCAAACAGCCATTTACGATCTATCATTTCCATGTGGGTGACAGTTAAAGATCAAACATATTCTGTAATTATAACAATAGAAGTCAATTGTTCTAGCAATAGGTTTCAATTTTAATCAGCAAATGGTAATATTATCACTCCATTGATAGAGATCATTAAGGTTCTGCCTCTAGTTGAGAATCTAGGACACAACAAATTCTTTTACTCATTCTTAATAAAAATGCAAAAAAATCCACTTTGTTTTGTGGTTAGTGCAATTGTACAGAATGCGAAACATAGTAGATTCGTATTCCAACTCAAAGTACTTTTTACGCATTTTTAATTAACACTATTTTCCAGTATAACATTGTGAATGTAAAATTGATCAAATAAAATATACTTTTACTTAATCAAATAGTTGGAATAAGCCATAAATATTTTAGAAGGGTACAGCACAATTTCAAAACTTAGAAATCCAAATATAAAAGATATCGCATTAGCAAATTTCATAATGTTAATTCATTTCACCAGAAAATGTAAAAAGATAGAACAGTATAATTTTAATATACAACATTGCAATATAGCAAGGTCACTTTATTCTGTTAACCAGTTTATTTGAATTGAATATATTAAATAAATAAATATTTAACAACATCACATACATTGCTCAGATTCCAAGATGAGTAGCTAAAGCCCCCGTACTATGGAGTATCTGAGACAATGAAGGTATCACAACACCCAGACCAGAGTCAATATAGAAAAGTTCATTTTCTACATTGACCCGACCGGGAATCGAACCCGGGACCTCAGATGGCGACACCTTGAAACCGACGTGCGAACCAGTCGGCTACGGAGGTCGTCTAAATATTGGAAATATCTTGTAACAAAATTGTAACTAGTTTGTATGTATTTAATATTATTTGGTATTCCAGCTAAACTGATAACAATTTTTTATACAAAAAAGTTTTAACTGCTACTTTTTATATTATAAACTGACCTCACCCAAGTAGCATAAGTAATATTTACTAGGTACCTTACATGAACAGTTGTATTTAATAAAAAAATAATAATCAAAATTGGCAAAGGTTTTGGCCAGAGTAAGGCTAATTAGATTTTATGAGTATGAACAAGTAGTTTTTTAGGGCCGAATATACCCATGGCATAAACGTGACACCGCTAGGGCGGGTCCTCGTTGATCTTGCAGATTACTAATATGACATTATAAATAGTTTTTATAACGTTTGCCAATTTATGTTTACTACATATGTGCCGCGTAATGACCTTGTGCTCCCGACGGCTGCTGGATGAAACCAAAACTTTATGTTTATAGATCATTTCTAGTGACGTCATGTTGACCGAATTCCCACAAGAAACCGCAATGTACAATCATAAATTATATAATTTAAAGACATTATGTATAACTAGTTCAAAACGACTCATATTTTCACTCATTCACAAGAAATGGAAATAATTTGCAAGTGACCACCTAATTCTTAACACAACGTGACAACAAGGATGACGTGATTACTGTAAATAACATACCTTTCTAATATTCACTGATTGCTGTTATCATAACACTACACACCGCAATTTATCGATTGTTCCTTTATTTAGACACAATACACACAAGGGTAGAACAAATGACGAACTTAGGCGCAATTTCGCGTTGGGTTTGGTTCACTCGACGCTTCACAACAGTGTTTCCCTCTACAACATCGATCTCGGAAGTCGCGCGCGGCCGTGGCGAATGGAGCGGAGCGGAGCGAAGCACGCAACACAGCGTTGGTCGCGATTGTGCTAGCCTAGTGATGTAACTAAACGAGCGAGCGACGTTAATCGTTATCGCTATTTGTTCACATTACTTCGTACCTTGATTTTTACAGTTACCTACCAACAACTTCAACCTATACTACAAGTCTTTGTTAACCACCTATTTATAAAATGTATTTAATAATAGTTTTTATATAGAAATTGCCTGCGTTTCTGTTAAAGGAATATAATAATTAATTACCTATTGAATTATCATTAAATAGGCATATTATCTAAATTTAGTCATACCATAGTTACTATACATGAATCGATCGGTCGATATTGAAGTGATTATTACAAAGATCAAAAACGAATAGGTTAAAAACAAAAATCTTAGGCACTATATCATTTGATGGTAGTCTTCGATTCTATTTGAATAGAAGCTTAGTACCTACTTTGTAAAAGCTGATTGGAAGCACTTCAATTTGTAAATATCTATTATAGTTTTATTAAAAAAAAGTCATTATAATTCTATCTCCTACCTATCCGACATAAACAAACCACCACTGGCGGCCCCATAGCAAAAAATGTACCTATACTGCTCCAACATATTAGATAACATCATTAATAAACAAAAAGATCGTCTTAAATAATGAGTACAATAGAAAACAAACTATTTATGCTATTTTGTACGTATTAAATTAAAAGTATATAACAGATTTTACAAATATAGAAGTAGTAATGGAAATTAGTAATAATTGTTTTTAATTTTTTTATCATGCAAATTTCCCCCTCTTTTAGTCTAGCAATAGCACTTTTAGTGTGCTATTGCTATGCTATTTGTTTAATTTACGATAGCGTATGTGATTATTTATGATAGCATTGAATTGTGAAATACCTATTTTTTTTAGTAGGTACCCAAATCTCATAGGTCCTATGAAAATTAGTACCAGTAAGTAGTGGCGGGTTTACCTCGGTATGCCGGGGCCGGGTGGTAAGTAGGAGCGACCGCCTAATTCTCTAGCTAGTCTTATACGACATCTTAGCGAGCCATAGGATAGGTCCGACATCTTAGCGATGCCATGACGATATTTCGTTTCATATTACTACTTTGCGTTGTCGTTTGGTTGATAAATTTGGGTTAAATGATAAAGTTAGTAACACTGCTTTCAAATTTATCGTTAGTTCGTCGTTACTAAAGTACCTACGTTCTTGATGTACAGTATAAAAATAAAGAGGGGAGATATATTCAATGCTATTTTATTGATTGCGGAAAGGGGACTACCTACCAGCCTACCAGCCACGTACTCTTCCATAAATTACTAACACAAACGAAGTAGTCTGCATGAAGAAGAGTTGTTAAGGATAATTATCTCTATCTAGTTGAATGTTCGATATAGATAAATATTGAGGCAAATGATTAAATGTTAATTTGAGTAATAAATCAGCTACTCGTAGAAAAAGTAAACCCGATGTGCCGCTCGCAATATTGACCCGAAGTAGCAGCAATCTTACTAAAAATTTCCTGAGCCTGATATAAAATGATATATATCCGATAAAATATCAAATATCAGATATTTTGATAACACATCGGGTTTTAGTGAACCATGGATACAACACAATACTTAAAATTCGACGAATTATTATTAAAACTAACACGATTTTTATTTAAATAATAGCGACAAGCTTATGTATAAGCTTTTTTCATCTACTTTTTACAAATTATATTTTTTAACTAGTCACCTTGTGTGAATTGTGTAAACTAAACAAATAAAAAAGAAGACGAACGCAAAGCGCCTCTAATGAAAATCAACATACTCATGAAATGAATAACGTACTCGTCTTCGACGGGGGTGTAAGGGAAAGCTGTCTCCTGGACTTTGGGAGGGGGGCTGCTTTCAGGCTCCTCCTGCAGCGGACTCTCGTAGATCAGAGTCTCCACCATGGACCCCTTGGAGCTACCAAACGAGACCCTGTAGGCAAAAATTATCTATTAAAATTTATTCTGTAATGTTTTTAACACACTTTATCAATCTTCATTAAAATGGATTACTACCGAGCAGCCCATACGTGTTGGGGTAGCTTAGAATTTTTCCCAGACGACGCAGACGTCCATCCGAGTTAACAATTATGATGATTTTTTTTTTCTAAGATGGGTAAAAAAGTGTTTACAGTGGCCATTGCCACATGAATTGCCAATTACATAATTGCGCCCATAAAGACCACAACGAGTACATGAGTTTTCATAGAGAATTAAAATATAAATAGGAACCTATACCACACCGTCTACCCTTAGGAAAAGCTTAAATTTGATTTATAATTAGATAAATAAATATAATTCTTTATTTTTCTCTTTTGAAAAGGTACATTACACTGATACTATCAGTATAGAATTGTAGCTAGTATTACAATTACACTATGAGTAAACTGTAAATGTAGTGTAAAATAATAAAGTAAATTGCTACGCCAAAAAATCTATTTTTACTGGAAAAAATAGTGAATGATAATCAAAATCTATTGTAAAATGAAAGTATAACCAAAGTTTATCTTGCCATGATTTCAAGGTAAATGCCTCATCCTTGTTAATGACCACAATAATTTTGACCTTATTTATAACCGACTTCAAAAAAGGATAGGTTGGACTATTATATTTTTATGTGGGTATATCAATCGATTTCTTCGTCATTAACCGATTCCATAATTCCTCTTTGAATCTAAAGCTTAAGGGCTTTAAAGGATTATTTATTTCCTTTTTAATTAAAGCAAGTGCATTCGTCGTAGTTATTTTATTTGTTAAAACTACCATACCTATTCGGGATTTATGTTAAAAGTGTAAAAGTAAATAAAAATATCAAGGCTTTAAGTAGCGTCAGAAAAACATAGATTGTAATTATTGCAAATCAAGGAACTGCACTGCAATATCATATAGTATAAAAGATACTTGGATGCGACAGAGTAATGCTAACGAGTCCTTAATGTCCTAAATCGCCTCGTAAAAGCCTCCCGATGACCTAAATAGCATTTTAGCGCATCTGCAACAGGGTCAGGTCATACTAGGCTGATAACCTTTTCTATTGCTTTAAAGTTCACAACAATTTATAGATCGCACTGTATTTAGAATGAAGAGGTTTTATTCTACTTATCTTGATGCTAGCATAAAGTGCATTATTATTGCAACAACACCATTAATAATTTCAAATCAGTCTTTTAATTTATGGTTATTCAGACACCAAATTTTATCAATGTTGTTCCGTAGTTTTGGCGTGAAAGAATTCAATAACAATAAATACATCCATCCTGAAAATCTTTGACATTTATAATATTAAGTAGACAATGAAATCGAGTAACAAAGATTGCCCGCACACCACACGCAGATGTCATATACCAATACATAGATATGCCATCACCACTACCCCTCTCTAGTAGTTAGAAAAGTATAAAACACAAACGACGATCGAAATCGTTTCCTAATTAACTGCGCCGCTTTTAGACAATTTAACGGATTACGGAGTTTGGTCTCGTCAAATTTGTCATCATTAATATCTGATGTTTTGAAACCTACTGAGAACTCACGGGGTGATATTTGCCAGCAGCCGCTGCAACGACGACGTGGGGAGTCAATCGCATAAATCCCGTCGTATAAATTTGCTAACGTGCATTACCTACATACAATTTCACAACTTACGTAAGTTGCAGTCCCGCTGTCGCAGCAGTTGCGGCCAAAATCACCCGATTGAGAACTCATCCGGTGATTTTGGCTCGGATATTAGATGGTTTTTATATAAGTATATTAAAAATAACATCTATTAACAAATATATATTAGTTAACATCAATATACTTTCGTTTCATTTTAGTCATTTCGTTATCATTTTTTTGATAAGAATCTAAATAAATTATAATAATTTAATTACGTAAATACGTTTAAATTTGAGAGAACATAAGCTTCTTGTCTGTAGCTTTAATATAGACAAGAAGCTTATGTTCCCTGAGTAGGTATTAGATAGGAGCAATAAACTTATATAGGTACGAGCTTTAAGTTTTTGTGTAGGAGTTTTGATAGAAGTTAGAATCTCTAAACATATAAGATACTTTAAGTAAAATATCTAACCTTCTTGGTTACGTGAAATTGCATTAAGCCTAGTTTCAATCATATTATTGATGACTTTATTAGATTTTCTTTTGAATTATGCGCAAATATAAAATTGAATTGAATTTTGAAAACCAATAATGAGTCGTCTTCGGTGTCTAACATAGTGCCGCCATAAATCTATAGGAACGCCAGTATTTTTTACCTGACTGCGCGACGCAAGGGAGGGTAATGTGTTTATCAGTCTATCTATGTATGTTCGTTTCTATGTGGCGTTCTAGAGACCAAATGCGTAGGCCGATTTTGATGTTCCTTACGTCAACCGATTCGTCTCAACCTTGCGAGTGTCACTAAAGACACCACACCGACAACCAGACGCCATATTGTCAAAATGAAAAAAAAAATCGATGGACTATGTCAAGTGGGGTATCGTTGAATAGGCATTTTAAAGGTTTAGGTTCCTTTCATCATTTTTAATTTTAAACAATAGTTTAGGATATATAACGGTTTAAAGTTGTTTAACAAACGATCCCAAGTAGCACATAAATAATATATTAACTAAAATAAGTACCGATTTATGTCCTAAAGTCATACTAACATTTTTAATCAGCTCTGGTCAAGTTTCGAATTTGTTTAAAGGCATTTATTTTATCTAATAATGCTTAATGCCATATTATGGTTAATAAAAAAAGTATACCAATGTCAAAACTCCTATTTAAGTATTGGGTAATATTAATATAAAGCTGTTATCGTATTTCGGTGATATGAAAAACATTATATATTATATAAGCATTAACGTAATACTATTTAGTGCAGTTAGTTGTATTTAGTCATTTTCTAGAAACAAAGGTTTTCTAATGGTCTATGGTTGTATCGATTTAATGCTTATCCTATATACACATTGAATAAAGAACTAGTAAAACTTTAGCACCGATTTGTTCTTAAAGTATTCTTTAATCAAACTCAAGCTCCTTTATCTTCTTAATCTATGCTTTTATAAAACATTAAGCTATATTTTGATCAATATTAAGTTATTTATAGAGATAGAAGTAATAAACAGATCGTAATTATTTTTTATGTAAAATTAAAATGTAAAATTATTTTATGTATTGCATTGTAATGGTGGCATTTTATACGCATCGCTGGCGCCATGGACAAAAAACGTTGGGAAAAACAAAGAAAACAGGTGGATATAAATGAAAACTGAAAAAAGAGTATTCTAATTTAATTGAAGCTTTTAAAAATCAAAATAAAAATGAAATAATCGTTTGATGATTATGAGCACCATAAGATACTTCTGAAGTGTAAAAATACGGCTGTAACTAAAATGGGAGTATATTATACGGTGAATTACGAGCTCTTAGTTTTGTGTCTAACCATAATACGATTAACAGCTCTACTACACCATATTTGAATACCTAATGCTTTAATTTTACGAGTCGCCATTTGCTTTCTTTTTCCAATTCTTACAAAATATTTAAAGTCAACTGTGTCAGATGAAAAGGGGTAAATAATCATTTATTTTGTGCACAGATGCCTATAAAAGCAATTATGTTGTTAAAACAATGCTAAAAAGCCTAAAATTCAACAAAAATTATTGCTACTAGGTTAAATTTTTTATTATTTTTATTATATTAAAGGAAGTTTGCGAAGGCGCGTGTATTTTACACCATAAACTTGTATATTTTACTCCACAAACTGATGTGTGCAGCTTATTTCACACAAAACGAGCTGTTTAAATCAATATTCAAAAATACTTAAAAGACCAGCCAAGAGAACATGTCATGACACTTACACAAAACAATAATTTAAACCGATTATATGTTTTTAAAATCTATTAAATATACTTTTTTACAAAGGAAATAAAACAGTAAGCATTTTTATAATATTAAATTAACGTATTATAATTTTGATTTACGCATATCAATTGTAATATAGTCACAAAAAGTTCAATTAGCACTTTAAGGTGCTAATTGAACTTTTTGTGGCTATTAGAATGCTTTTACCCGACTTTATTAATGCTATTATACAAAAGTTGTAGTACTATTGCACAGCTTTTATTAAGCTTAAAGTCGTACAAAGGGGGGGCCCAAATTTTATGTATAAGAGTCGTTTAAAAGAAATACGGTTGATATACGATTTATTATAATGCTTAACGCTTGGACTCGTGCTATTATAAGTTTGATATAATGGTGTTTTGTGCTACTTGGGATATTATCTCTCTCAATGAAATGAATAGATTGTGAAATTTACCATCTTATAACGAAGTCAACGAAACTAAAATATAAATAAATAAAAATAAATATAAAATAAATAATAAAGTATAAAATAAAAATAAATAATTAAAAAAAGAAAACCCGGCTCTGTAAAATGAATTAAAAAAAATACATGAAAAAGTTAACTTAAATATAAAACTAAAAAGAAAGAAAGAAGCCCAGTAGTTTAGAATTATGTTAAGTAATACTAAATAACTACACAATTGCAATAGTTTTATAATCGATACAGACATAAAACAAATCATAAATTCTAATGCAGAACAGAACGACTCACAGTTTTATGCGTGTATCGCTTATAAAACTATTTCATGTAGTTATTTAGTATAACTTAACATAATTCTAAGCTACTGGGCTTATTTCTTTCTTTTTAGTTTTTAAGTTAACTTTTTCATGTTTTTTTTTTAAATTCGTTTTTACTGAGTCGGGTTTTAGTTTTTTTTTATTGTTTGTTTTTTAAACCTCATTCTACATTTGATAAATAATAAATCTATGTATTTAATGTATACCTACCACCTACCACAGACTTTATAAAACTTGTGCATGAAGCATAGATAGTAATCTATATAAAGCATAGATATAAAGTATACCGGTGTCTGAGATCTTTAAAAC